ATAGGCTTATCTATTTTTATTTTACTATCAAAATTTTATATTAAATTATAAAAAAAAAAATTAAGATTATAAGAAATCCAATCTATCTAAAGATTGTATTTTTTTAACTACAATAATCCTAAAATAATTAGATTGGAGGGAGATCTTTTTGTATTAAATATTATTATACTATTATGATCTTTAATTACTATATCTAAAAGAATAAACTCATAAATAACGTCTTTAGAAGACAACAAATGACCATCTATGACTTCTACATGTACAGATTTAGTTTTCTTGATTAAAGAAATTCCTTGTTTCTTGACAAAGTCTTTGTCTATGAAATAGACTAAGGTTCTTGAATCTAATTATGCAAAGACTTTGTGATTTTTAATTCCTAAACATGCATCTATTATAAAATAAGATAAGGGATTTGAGGAAAGAATAGAACCTTTACTAGGTAATGCACATGATTCCAATGAAACAATTTCTATTCTAATTAGAGAAACTTGTTTTTTGATACATTTTTTTTTAGCAATCATGCTCCGTATTTTATAATTGCATTGCTTCTTTGGATAATGTTGAGCAATATGCTTAGCTTTTCTACAATATAAGTACAAACCTTCTTGACCATATTAAGTTTTTTCTTGCTCAATGAGGGATTTAAAATGTACTATATCAAATTGCATTGAGTTTGGCCTTGATAAATAATTTTTTGAAAACTTTGGAGCTACCATTATTACTTCACTTATTCTTTTTAAGCTAAGTCTTTGTTCTTGATGCCTTTTGAATAATTGATTGTCGCATGTAATGGCTTAAGTAATAATTTTGTTTTAAAGTTTTTTTTTAGTATTGTCAATGATAAATCTTTGACATTATCATTCAATCCATGTCAAAATTAATTGATGAAGGCTTTGTCATTCTAATCCATGTTGTAAGTGAGGTTTTGGAATTCAGCAACATATATGGTGGACGATAGTGATGCTTATTGTAAAAAAAAGAGTTTGATCTTTGCTACTCTTTTTTAATCACTTTCTTTGAATGTAGCCACAAATACTTTTAAGAATGAATTCAAATCATAAAAGAGTTGTAAATCCTTTTCCATCAAAAATACAAATCAATAGAGAGCACTTCCAGATAAAAGTACATCTATAAATCCAACTTGAATAAATCCATCAAGATATTGGAAGGGATGCAACCTTACATAGAGCTTGATTTGTTGCAAAAATCCTCAAAATTTTGATTTTATTCCATCAAACTTCTTGAGCATACTAATCCTTATCCTTCTCATTCTTGAAAAACCAAAACTTCTCAGATTTAGTTGTGAGATTGATTTACTTTTTTCTTTCAATTGCACAACTTCTTGAAGTAGACTTTGAACTTCTTCTTTAGGCATAAGATTATTATTTCCATGATTTACACTTGTGATGCATGAAATTTTTATCCTAAGAATATTAAGAAGTTCTTGAAGATCAGCAATAGTTGCAAATCTATTCTCACTTCTACCAAGAATAGCATCCATGATGTTTCGTTTTCTTTCAAACAACTTAACAAATCCACAAGTCAAATTAGAAGAAGATAATTTGCAACTTCTAATACCGAATAAAAATTTCTACAAAGTGGGATAATTTTCTCTCTTTAAGAAAGATATTAGTGTTAGAAAACTAAACAATTTGTTTAAAGGTGGATAATCTACAACCTTCAAAATATAACAATAGAAGTGGCATCATCTACCCACTTCTAAAAAAGACAAAAATTATAAGTTAGCACTCTTGTCAAATAATCAAGGACATGCATCTCAAACAACTAAAATATCAATACACCCTTATGTTACTTGAAAAAACTAAAAAATCATTCAAAGATGATATAGTATTAAATTAGAATGGCTATTGCCAAAGACAAAAAGACTAGAAAGTCTTGAAACAAGACTAAGGACTAGAAAGGCATTGACAAGAGTGAAGAAGGTTTGACTCTTGCTTCCATTTATACTCTTAACTAGGAGCAATATGGCAATGTTCTATAAGACCTCTAAAATGTGTTGACTTTACAAGATACATATCTTAACTTGCAAGGTCAATTTTCTATATGTGCGCCACATAATTGGCTTGTTCCACAAGCTACCAATATGTGATTAACTTGTTGATTATGTTTTTAACCTATCAATCAACTAAAAATAGATGTTAAGTCAAAGTAATATCTATGAAGCTTCTAGGAAGCTTTTTCAAAAAATATTATAAAATAAATTTATATTTACCTATTTTTATTTAATCATATAGATAAATATTAGAATAAATATGTATGTTCATGACATTAGGTTGCTTTAATATGACAAAACCTTAAAAACCTTCTCTTATGACTTCTTATATTACTTTGGAACTAAGCAATATAAAGAACCTCCTCTAACAACCTTTTAGAACCTTATACAATCTTTTAAGATCTTTTATATTCTTCTAAGACCTTTCAAATAGTTTAAAATCTTTTTGGAATTTTCTAAATTCTTCTAAAACCTTCTTAAATCTTCTTTAGATGGATGTCTATTATAATTAGAAGTCTTTTTTAGAATTCCATTTTCTATTCCTTAAAAATTAGTTGTTTATTTGTTAAATTTCTTTAAAATATAATGATTTTGTTCTTTATAAATATTAATATTTTTTTAAATAGTTTTTATATACTTTAAAGACTTCAATATTATATCGATTTTTTTTCTAAATTATTTTTAGATGCATGGTTGTTTTGTAACTTTATTTATTGTTATAAAAAAATTTACTTTATTTGAGTAGTTACTTCTAATTTTCTTTATTAAATATATTTGATTATAATTTTAAGATAATTATAAGTTTTAATTTGTACATCTCATTTCTTTTTATTTCTTTTATTTTTCACATTACATTTTTTCATATGTTTTTATAAGTATAATAGTCAAAAATATCTTCTAATAAGTAGAAATCTATACCTTCCAATAAATATATTTTTTCTTTTTATATCAAATAAACATTTATCTATATCAATTTTCTTTAAAAAGATAACTAATTTAAAAACTATAAGCTTCTTATAAATATTATTATTTATCTTTTAAAGAAATTTAAGTAATGTCTAATATTTATGCATATTATAATATTGTTTAAGATAATTTATAAGTATTTATTTATTTAATTATATATTTAAGAATATTTAGATATTTTTCTATTTATTTCAAAAATTATCATATAATTGTAAAATAATAGTTTTATATTTTCATTATTTAAAAATTAATTTGACAAAGGTTTGTGAAGACAAAAGAATTGAAGGTTGAAACAACGTAGAACTATATATTATGAATAGATAAGGGAATATTAAGTTTTGGTATTAAAATATTAAATATAACAAGATTTATAATTTAAGAAAGATAACTTAAAAATCACAACCAATTTTGTTTTGGAGGCGTGTGTATACAAGGGGATGGCCATGCAATAAAAAAAGGTTGTTTGCCTAGTGGTTTCTAAAAAATTATGATTTCACAACTTTTAAATTCTCTTTTTAATATTCTAAAATTATTATTTCTAATTATATCAGAGTAATACAAAACAAGGAAATTAAGAATGAAATTTAGAAAGAGATAAAATCAAATCTAATTATTAAAATTCAGCAATAAGTTTATAATAAACAGCAAAATATATTTTTTTTAATAAATAGGTATTTTGATAAAATTTAAGGTACTTTATAATAAATACTAAGAATTAATTATATATGATTAAAAACATTAATAAAATTCTCTTGATTTAATTCATTCTATATATATTATATTAATTAAATAAAATAGAATTCAAATATTTGTATTAAAAAATTATGTAAAAATAAATAAAAATTAAAATACTATATCAATCAATCTATAGTTTGATTTCAGCTAAAATATATAATATTATATACATGCTGCACTAATCTTTTTAGTTTATTTATTTTCAAATATATATATATATATATATATATATATATATATATATAATTATATGAATTTTTTATATTTATATTAATTCAATTTTTTATATAATTAAATAAATTAATTATGTATATATATTTATATTAATTTATTTTGATATTTTGAAAATATAATAATACTATCAAATTTTAACAATTATATAAAAAAAATCTAATTTGTAACAATATAATTTATTTGAATGAATTAAGATTTTCATAGAACAGTGATTAGAGAGCCTTAGATTTTATATAAGAATAATACTATAGATTTGAAATATATGTGAAAATCTCTTGCTTTATTTTGAGAACTATATTGGTGAAGCAGTGGAAAAACAAAAGAAATGTAACTAAAGCTTAACCTTAAGGATCTATGGTTTGTACTTTTATTTTCCAATGAAAATCTATTATTGTATTAAATTGACCAAATATTATGTTAAAATGGTTATTTGATATTATTAGACTATTACTGAGTTACTATTTAACCATCCTAACTAATATGCACTTCATGGAAGAATCCTAAAATACAATATGAAAATGAAACTATTATCGTGTTCCTTACATTAAACTTTGCACTCTCTTTATATATATATATATATATATACTCAACATGTTGCATTTCTCAACAAAAGCCATGGTATCTAAAATGAACATCCGTGTGGGTTCCGGAAGCTAAGTTGATGCACGTTTTGCCATTTCAAACAGCATCAACATGTCCACCGAAACACAAGCACTAGCGCGAAAGAAACATTTTTTAATTTGTAATTTGTAATTTTTATTTTTTCTGTCATGATCTGAAGCAGTGATCTTTACTAGAATGTATCATTCCTTGTAGGTCCGCTTGCATTCACTTTTCTTTCAATCAACATCGTTACTAGCTTGTCATCAATCTTCGACCGAGCTCAGCTTCGTTCCGAACGTCGCAACGTGTCACCATGCAACGAGTGAGTCAAATTCAGTGCAGGCAGATGACTGAGATTTGACAGTATACAACATCGAAGCCTTTCATGCACCGTGTGTTCTTACGACGAACCAGGAGATGGTTCCTAACTGAACAGTGGATATCTAGAAGATCCTTCAATTGGATGCGTGCATAGTCTCTTGCAGTCACTTCCTCTGAAACAATTTGTGACTGCATGTGATTTTTTCAGCTTGTCTTGTGAGTTTCGCGTCGCGAAGCATATGTGTTGCAGTCCAGCTGCGCCTAGTGAGCAGTTCAGAGCTAGACGAGCACCACCGTCGTGTTTTTCCTTTCTGTCTAGATTCACGTGATGAGTTTTCTCTAACTTAGTCCGCGTTTCAAAACGCATCGCAAGCTTGGGAGAAATTTACTCCAAGTTGTCTTGGTCGCAATAGAAGTCTTCCATGACCCCATCACTCTATCAACAACCCATAACTCCATTCTTCGCAAACATCCAAAGGTCGAAGGGAAGGTGCCATCGACGCTTGGCCGCTTCAGTCGCGAGAGAGACAGTGAGCTCTCTGAAGGTTTCTTGACCTAGAACGGCACGTGGATGGATGCTGGTTACTACTTACACTGCATCGCCATCCAGATGGCGAATTCCAGCACCGAATTCCAGGCACTGAGCACACTTGGAACACCACCATATCATCCCGCTTGGACACCAATTTCTGTCGGAGGTCGAAGTTTCTATCGCACCTCCAGGGGCGTCGACAATCGTGGGCAGCCCTACTGTATCTGCTGTGTCGCCGACAGGTCTCCAAGTTTATTCCCATGCTCGTCAAGGAGCAGCTGCTATAATTGGACTACAGATTCTCCAGCTGCTGTAATTGGACTACGGATTCTCCAGCTGCTGGAGTGGACGATAAGGCCAGATTGTTGCAGCTTGGTCTCGCGGTTAGGCCGAGGAATGGGGATGCGATCCCGGGAAGACAGGCGGCGGAACGACGTGGGAGGTCAATTGTCGCGGTCGCGGTCGCTGGCTGGCCGGGGACGAGAGCAGAATGGGTGACCGTGGCTCCGCCTCAAGAGTGTTAACTTGCTCACAGTTTCCACTTGTTTCGATTCACAACTCGGGAGGTTAATGGCGATTGTTGACGATCGTTTGTTAACTAAGTTCGTGTTATTTTGAACCTGGTCCTTCTCCTCTTTGGTATTCCTCCACCGCCAGGTTGTTGTAATACAGTCACTCAAGCCACGTCGCAGTTGTGGCGTTGGGTGAGTTTTCGAGAGAATCGTTTGTTCATTTTTATATATGTTTTTTAAGTTTTTTTATCTTCTCATGAAGAGGGCTATTTCCGAGTAACATTCGAGTTTGAGATTTTGTGTAGTAGGATTAATTTGAGTGCAGCTTAAGTTCGCTGTGAGATGGCACCGTTTATGTGCGTTTGATTTTTTAATAGTTACTATTTCCTTCTTGCTGATTTCTATTTTTTTACTACTTTTCCCTTATATTTTTCAATTTTGTGGTCTTTGCAGTTTGTTTTAGGCTCTGTACTTGTGCGAGTTGCCTTTGTGAGAGGGTCGGTGATCTCTTGAAGGTTGATTCGTTGGTGAGTAGCGAACTTCTTTCGAGTTTTCAGTTACTCATGTATGTATTTTGTTTAGGTTGGAGTCCTTCTTGCAGACAAACAGGATCGCTGTATCGAAAGTGAGGTTTGCGTTGGTTGTGGTTACATGATGAGGAGTGCAGAAATGTGGTGGAGTCTTTTTGATTTGCCGACTGATAATTGTGACATTTGGCGTGCATGGGAGAAATTAGATCTTTTCTACATGCTTGGAGGGGAAAATGTTCTGCTGCTGTTACAATAGGTCTGTGTTGATTTCTCTCTTATAATTTTACCTACGACTTAAAGCAGCACATAATCTCATTTTCACAGATACCTAAGATTTTTTGTTCGAAGGTGAATTGATGGTCGTACGCGATGGCGGTAGATTTTAAATCATTGACGGAAGCGACCTCGGGTGCTGTTGGGGGGCTTCTTAGTACTACTCTTCTCTACCCGTTGGACACTTGCAAATCCAAGTATCAAGCCGAAGCTAAAGCTGGCGTGGCACGGAAATACAAGTACGCCAATGGATTTTTACTTTAAAAGATGTGTGAAGAAGCTGTAGCTTGAACAGAAACTCACTTTGTGTAACACTGTATTCACCTATTTGATTTGAATCAGCCAATTATTAAGGAAATGGTTACATTGCTTAGGCTTCTTCACTAGGTTTTAAGTGGTGTTCATGGACATTTTCGATGTAATGCTCGTGTGGTTACTTACCGAAAGAGTGTTCGACTTTACATTCAGATCTCTCTTCGATGTATTCTGGGAATCGGTGAGAGCTGGCAAGGTTTTGTCATTGTACCAAGGCCTTGGCACGAAGAATTTGCAATCCGTCATTTCGCAATTCATCTATTTTTATAGCTACAGCCTTTTCAAGCAATGGTACTTAGCCAAGGCTAAAGTATCAAAAATGGGTACCGGAACTAATCTACTTGTAGCTGCAGCAGCTGGCACATGCACTGCAGTATTGACTCAGGTTAGTAACCATCTTATTTAATCAGAACATAGAACCCTTCGTGCCAGTTACAAGCGACAAATCTAAATCTGCAATATCCATTTCGAGAACATTTAAAATGTCATTTTGTGTATATTGTACCTTGGAAAATAATTTGTTTTTTTATCTTTTGGGGGGGGGGGGGGGGTGATTGATTACAGCCTCTTGATACTGCATCAACAAGGATGCAGACGAGCGCATTTGGAAAGTCGAAGGGTTTGTGGGCAACATTGACGGAGGGTAGTTGGTCTGAGGCCTACACTGGCTTTGGAGCATCACTTGTCCTTGTTTCTAATCCTGCAATTCAGGTTCTAAATACTTGCACTAGGCTTCAATCTCAAGAAAATTCTACTACTTATATTTCTTTTTACGTGTTTATGCTCGCTTCCTTTTCTCAATTTCTCGCTGGGAACTTTTACAGAATCGGAGCTACCGATTATCTTCACTGACTTCTTCTTTCTTTCTTTTTTTCTTTTTTTTTTTTTTTTTTTTTTTTTTTGTAAACTTGAATAATTGTGTTGCAGTACACAGTATTTGAGCAACTGAAGGATTTCTTACTGCGACCTACCGTAGTTGTAGAGGCTGTGGACACAGACAAGAAAATCCGGAGGATATCTCCCAAAGTATTAACAGCCTTTCAAGCATTCCTGGTTGGTGCATTGTCAAAGACTACTGCTACTATTCTCACATACCCAGCCATCAGGTATTATCTCCTTTTCACTTATTAAAACCTGTAGTGAAAGCCCAGGATATAAAAAACATGGATTCTACAGTTCTCTATTTCCCACAAAACTTAGAAACTAAAATATTCACTTCGACCCATTACTTGTGTTTTTCTTTTTTCTTTTTTTTTCCACAGGGCAAAGATTATGCTTCAAGCAGCCGAATCTGAGGAAGACAAGGCAATTCGCTTGAACGGTGGAGAAAACCCTAATGTGAGGAAGCGTGCCAGAAATATGTTGGAAGCTTTTCAGCAGATAGGACAAGAAGAAGGGGTGAGAGGCTATTTCAAGGGACTACATGCGCAGATTGTCAAGACTGTTTTATCTGCTGCTCTCATGCTCATGATCAAAGAGAAAGTGAACGGTAGTACATGGTTAATCATGACAGCTCTACAGAGGTGGTTGCTTGCCAGTGACAATAAGTTAAAGACTGTCACTCTGCCTCCTTCTGTTATTGCTCCCATTGGTATGGTTGGCATTGCTCTTGCTTCCAAGGCTGCCAAGTAGAAGAAACACACTCTGTTGATAGAAGAAAAAGCTGTTCTTGTTCACTTAGCTGCCATTCTATTTATCCATTAATTCTATTTTCTATTTGATTACTAGTTTTGTAGAGTATATAAGTTTTGAACTTAAAGTTTACTTGTTCTCATTCTCGTTTGTTTTGGAAGATGATTAATTTAGTTTTGGAATTAGAGTTATTTTGATATTGTTTTAGTATTCTACTGGAACTTGATTTCGGATCTAAACAAATAATTGCATGAAAATTATGTTATGTTTGATTATTTATGAATTTTGTAGATAATAAAAATAACTACATAAAAATAACTACATTGAAATGTTTTTTTTAATTTATCATTATATAAGATCTATTATAGTATTTTTCTTAGAAATAATGACAAATTTCGAATTTTATAATTAAAGTGTGACTTTTAAGATTAAATTTCTATACAATGAAGAATATAAATTAAATATTTATAATTTAAATTTAGTCTAAAAATTCTAAAAATTCTTAGATTGTAAATAGTTAAAATTAATTTTAAGTTATATATAATATATATTTATTATATTATTATTATATATTACTATATATTATATATTTATTATCTATTATTAGATATTATGTTCTTTAAGAATATAGATTTATGTCCAAACAATTGCTTTATCTAAAAAATCATAAATTTATACTTTGTTTTATTCATATTTTGTCTACAAAAGATAGGTAAAATATATAATTATAAATTCATCAAATGTAAGATCTTGGTAAAATATTTATACAAGCCATTAATAATATTATTTTTCTTTTATTTCTTAAATTAAAAAAATTGTATAAAAAAATATTCATTTTATTCAATAAATCACTTAAAAAATTCATCAACAATCAATATCTTGGTCAAACTTTCATTACATCGTTTAATCAATTATATAATTATGAAAAACTAAAATTATATAAAATTATATAAATATATATATATATATATATACAAATACAAATGAGTAATACAAACCATAAGTATACATAAGATTTTTTAATTAATTTTTTAAATATATTTAATTTATAAAAAAATCTATTTATGCAGATATTTATATTGATTTTTTTAGATGTCTATATATATATATATATATATATATATACATATATATTAACATAAAAATATTGAATTTAAAAATAATAAAAAAAAAAAAAAAACTATTAAATTTTAATTCTTTTACAATTTGACAAAATTAACAAATATTACATAAGATCTTATTTTCTTCTTTCAAATTTTTTAAAGTAACTCAGAAGTTTTGAATTTTGTTTCTTATATATATATATTAAAATAACCCAAATTTTTAATAAATTGATCCATCATTGTACTTTCATCTTAATTCCCCCTATTTTTGCTACTCATATCTCCATCCTTATTTCCCCTGTTCTCAATTCTTGTCCTCCATCGTGACCTCCTTTTGATTAGTTCCGACCTCCAGTCCCCATCTTGACCACCTTTCCATCGTCCGGTAGATAAAATTGGAAGATGGTCTTGAAGATATAGATAGCAACAAGAGGGTGGTTGGAGGTCGTAAATCAGTGTGCAAGTCTTCAAATCCTCTATTGTCATTATTACCTTCACTTAATCTACTTTGCAAATTCTATTGGGAACCTATTTAAGCAGCAACTTTGTTAAATTAAGTAACATGAATACATAACACAATCCTAGTATCATTATCCAACATTGTTATCACAAAAGATTGTAGTATATCATCAAGAAAAAAGTAAAGAAAAACCAAATAACTTGTGACAACAATTAGGATAACCTGAAAAAACAAACACAAAGAAAATAAATAAATAAATAAAAGAAAATTACTTTGCAACCACTTGTTTTGAAATGCTCTTGTTAGTGACTTCAATTCTATTTGTTCAAATAAATGTAAGCTCTATTTTTTTTTATTTTTTTTTTAATAATCATAGAAATCCAAACTTTGCCATAAATTTTTGTGATTGTAGCTTTACTATACTTTTTAAATTAAGCTACCTATCACTACTACAATAACAACACAAACAAAGACTTCTAAGACCTTAGCAAAGGCAGAAGAAGCTTTGTGGATATAATCAAAACTTTCTTTCATTCTTCCATCAAAGCACCAATTTATTTTTTCTTATAGAAAACACCAAAATCTCATAGAAAAGATTCAGGCAAGCAAGCTATTTATATAAGTCCTAGAAAGGAAGCAGCTAATTGTAGCTAGAAGCAAAGGTTGAATTGTACATACTTTGCATCGACAACATCCACCTCCAGCCGCTCTCTTTTTGCTATCTATATCTTCAAGATCATTCTTTGATTTCATCTATTAGATGGTAGAAAGAGCGTCAAGATAGAGGGCATGAGATTGGAACTGAGTACAAGGAGGTTAAGATAGGGGACAAGGGTTGAAAACGAGGGAACGGAGATGAAGTTAGAAACGTCAAAAATGGAGGAAATAAGGACAAAGGTGCAATGATGGTACAAACAAATGGATCAATTTAATAAAAATTTACATTGCTATAATATATGTATATATATATATATATATATATAATCTATTTACTTCAAATATATATAATTAAAAATATTATATATATAATTAGAGCTATTGATTTTATTCTTAGATTCAAACATATACAAACCATTTATTGAATTACAATATTCCACTAAGACAATATTTCTCAATCTATCTAAAAGCCAATTTTAAAAGTTGAAAATAATAATGGTATGACATATATTAGCTATAGTTATAAAAAATAGTAAGTTTTTCTTAAGATTTGGTATGTATAAAACATTGGTCATATTTATTTCTCTAAAACTAATTTGTACAATAAAACTTCTAATACTTCCAATATATGAATTTCTTTCCTTACAATTTTGATGTTTTTTTTCTAAGCTAGTTGTTGTGAGCTGGCTAATATTATTTTTTATACCTATAATGTATATAGTTACACCACTATCTATCTACCATTGTTGAAAAAAATTTACAAGTCCTAATATATATGCTAGAATTACATTAAGATTTTTTACTACATTGGCATATATTGATCAATTGAATTGAACTAGGCTTAAGTTACTTTGTGTTGATTAATTTTGCAAGGCAAAGCAATCTACTACAATATAGATGAGTTGCTACCATTATAGTAAGTTATTGAATGTATAAAAAAACTTTGTCTTGGTGTACTTCAATTTTTTTGAATTGGATGTTTCTTCTTCAATATTCTCTATTTTTTTTATAACCTCAATTTGAAATTCTTGCTCCCTGATATTATGCTATATTGTGTGTTTAGAAATGTATTAGTAAGTGAGTTGCAAGATTGAAGTGTATTGCTAGTACTTCTTTATTCCTAAGTTGTACAGCTCTCTCTGTTTGTCATGTCCCTTCCATGAGTAATTTTGATGTTAGTTGATTGAAGGTGAAGGTGGTATCTAGATTGTTTAAGGTTTGAATTCCTCCTTAAAAACTTCTTGGTAAACAATTGAATAGAAGTCAATAGATGATTTTGTTGTAAATAGGTTTTTCTATAGATAGAAGTTGGTTTCTTATGTTTGTTGACATACTCTTATATTGAGCTTCCTTTTGACATTTTTAGTGTATGAAGTTGATTAATTAGCATCAATAGTTGAGGCTAATTTTCAGATGAAAACTTTTGGCATAGATCCTCCTAAGCAAGACCTAGATCTATTAAGTTTGCAACAAAATCTAATAAGTTATTAACTATTATGAGTTGTATCATGGATAATGCTATATTCTTGGTTTTTCTTATTGTTTCTTTAGTGTAATAAGTGTCTAATACTATTGTTGGATAATTAGCAAGTTGTATATGATTTTTTGTGAGATCCCACATATTCTTTCTTGTTAGTATTGCTTTCATTTTGAATTTTTACTTGTAGCAGTTGCTAATGCTTACTTATTTTAGTGCTTCTCCTACTAACAAACTACCATGATTTTCCTAACTTTCATCCATGACTTCTATACTAGCTTATGGTGCATATGATAAGATCAAGGCTCACTTGTTGTTTAGTGTAATTTGTAGAACAAGGAATCATCTATCTCAATCTATTCAATACTTTTAAGAATACTGCTCATTAGAGTTGAGCAAGAACTCTATTATACCATTGTTTTGATATCATGTTGAATAGTAATATTACATTCTAAGTTTATATTCAATTAAAAAAGTATTATACTAAGATACATATACATGAACCAATACTTGATACATATACATGAAGTTCTCCGATGGAGAAGAGACATGTGTCCTAAGATGAAGGTAAGCTACAAGATGAATGAATTTTGTTGACTAGGAGAATGCAAAGCCAACAACTTCCAAAGGAATCCATCAATCATCCTTCTATTCTACTTGGTTCTAGGATGTATTTTGGATGCACAACATACAAAGCAAAGACCTAAGAGACATAGCAGCAAAGTAGAAAGGGGAGAGAACTAGATTTATCAAAAAACATTAAACATCTATAGTGAAGTCGACTATTCAAGGGCAACATAAGTCAGAGAGGTAAGCAATTCAATTCAGCAAAGATAGAACTGGAATCAAAATGAAGAAATATTATACGTTGAAGGGACCAAAAGCATTGCAAGGCAAAACTTATTTTTTTAGTGTGCCGAGGATACAATCTAAAGGACGTTGTAGTGAATGTGAGTTCTTTTGGTTTTTTTGAGGGTGAATGCAAATAGTTGCCCACACATGGAAGGGGGAGACAAGATGCCAAAGAGAATCAAAAAGAAATGGTGGTTAAATTGAAAACTATTGAAAAATTCTTGAACTGAAAAACAAAATTTGTGTAGAATCCAATAAAAAAAATTTGAGATCAAAAATTAATGTTTTATATCAAAAAACATTAAGTAAAAATCTGCTTATTCAAAGTTAACTCAAAGATTATCAAAAATCAAAAAAATATATCTAAATTTTTTTAATATAAATAACATTCTTTAATACCATCATAGGACCATTACAATTTTTGCTATTACTACTACAACCAATTCTAATTAAAAATTTAATTATTTTTTTATTAGAGATAAATTTACTTTCTATATAAATAAATATATATATATATATATATTTATATAATTTAAGAAATATGCCAAGTAGGTGATAAGTTGTAGAGACAATAGCAAAAAATGTGATGACATGTGGTAGATGGCAAATTGTGATGGTGATAGCAAAAATTGTGGTTCCATTAACAATATTCTTAAAAATTTATTATGATTAAATTAATTCTATTATTTTTTAATATACACCATACATAATTGAAAAACGTACTAGAAATAACAAAATCAGTGATTATTTTATTTCTTTATTTTTTAAAAATGCGCTTCCTTTAATCATTTTTCATGTCAAAAATTATATATGTGTCTTAACCTCTTGCAAATGTTTTTAGACCTCAACAAACTACTCATATTACAATTTTGACAAATATATATATATATATATATATATATATATGTATATATATATGCACATACTATTACATCAATAGTATGACAATAAATGACATGCCATATCTTTTTATATATTTATACGTGTTACTTGTGTGTACAATTGTAATGTTTTAAACGTTTTATTGCTTAAAATAATATTCAGTATTACCAATTCTTAAGAACGCAAACACCCCAACTCTTACATTGGAATAATACAACTTGTTAAGTGTAGCAAAGTATTACTCAAAACTAATTCACGTGTCAATCGGAAATGGTTTTTAAAAAAATATCACCAGTAAGTGAAATTTTACGAACAATATAATTGAGATGTCGTGCATGTTACGCTCCAGAGCCAGCGGGCAGGACCCGAGCTGCCCGAGGGAGGGAGGCACTCGCATGCCAAGCTGGACAGACCACGTCAGCATGACCCCCTGCCACTGTGGCCCGCGAACCTCTTCCGTGACGGTAGCTTCGCCGCCGTGGCTCCGACGAGCGATGGCAGGGCTGGCAAGCAGCGCCCCGATTTATCGCCACTTGTCGCTCACTCTTTACTGCCACGCAGCCACAATTTTGATTCCAATCCGTGCAACAGGAATGACCATCTTAGCGAGAGTAGGAAAACCTGTGTCAAACGACTAGAAACCACCCAAATTAGCTCTCATAACTTAAAAGAGCAAACTTCACCTGGCGAGCTACAACTGAAGTTGCGTTCATTGAATCATGTTCGAGGTAAAGTAAAAGTCGGAGGATGTTTGTTGTTTCACTTCATCACATTGATTTCCAGGCAGTAACCTACGGAACACGTCAGGTGCATAAGGTCGACTGCGACTGGAGTTGTTACTTGAGCACAACACTTGAGATTCGATCCTGCTGTGCGGATCAGCTGGTGCAGCAGAGATGGTGTGAGTCTTGGAGGTGGATCGCCTTGTAAGTATGGAGGAGAAGATGGTGTAAACAAACTGACGAACGTGCTTTGTCAGGGGAGCTGGGCATTGATTTGGTACCGGGCCTGGATGTGGGGATTAGATGCTGGCCCTCCAGGTTGCAGGCTGGTCTGTTGGAACTCGGTATCATTTGTTTATGCCTTAAAATATCCGGACCTTCCATGGCAGATGCAGTCTGCTCCTCGTCGCCGCCTATGTGGGAACATTTTGCTGCAGTTAGAAGCTCCTAGGCCCTCTTTCGAACTCTCAGGTTTGGATCAGCCCTTCTGTTCCTTAAACAATTGCTCTTCCTTTTGTAAAGGCTTGTACTTTATGTGTAGCAAGCATCTCATGGATTCCTGTGCCAAACGAGCAGCGTCTAGATGTGTTGGGTTTTGAACTTCTCACAAAACTGCTTCAGATAACCTCCTCTAGTTTCCACTCCTTGCCTGTCAAGTCCACTAGAGAGAGGTCTGTGTCTGGTCTTCTCTTTGTGTAGGCGGCATACTGCTCGTGAACAGGCGGCACATCGCTTGGGAAAAAAGTCTTTCTACAAACAAGGGTCCCGTTTGGTACGAACAGCTGATCAAGTGTGTCGTGAAGGAATCGGTTTCTGCTTCCTACTGTGAATGGGCAGGGATCTATGAAGATTTTGCTGCCGCGATTGCAGGCAAGACAAGATGGCGATCTGGGGGACTAAGCCAACTTGGGATGTGGAGGAGGCGCTCTTGCCTTCCCATGCAGAGGTAATGGCCAAAGAGATAGGGGGGGGGAGGGGTTGGGGGAGGGGTTGGGGGCTAGTGACTTTCATTTCATACGTCTCAGTTTTTTTAGATTGTGTTTCTAATCAGTTATTACCCCGGCATAAGTCATTGAAATCTTTTCTCTTCAACGGCACTTATGCAGTCATATTTTCGATTATGACTGTTTTTTATACTGCAATCTCTCACCCCTTGAGATCAGTAAATGCCTCATATCAAGAATTCATGGACTAATGGATAGTCTTGGACGATACAGCTGAGATCTGGAAAAATGCGAATCTCCGTCTGAATTGCTGATTTCTGTGCAATGCAGGGATCTAAGGAAGTGATAGAAAGGCCGAAGGACCAAAGATTAGTGGCCAAGGCTGTCGCTGCCGTGTTGACGGTTTTCTTACTATCTGGATGCATGGTCTCATTATACACGCACAGCTAAAGCAGGACTGAGTCACCCCGCTTGGAAGTTCTTTCCCATCGGCCGACTTATCCATTGAATTTCTTGGTGGTTGGCGATTGGGGTCGAGAAGGCGCATACAACCAGACTTTGGTTGCTGAGCAAGTAAGCTTTATTCTGATGCTTGCCTTCTCTGACAAACTTCTGTTACCGAAGTATTTTATAAACACGTGAATAACAAAAAACTGTTTAAAAGTAGCCTCGTGACGTCAACTTATTAGTGCTGTGATTGAATCATGCTGGACTGGCAAAGACTGACCACAAAGGATTATTCCTTAGCTTTCGTCAGTTCTCAAGTCTTACAGTTCACGCAAGGCCTCGGGCATGATCTACTCTGAAGTAGCACAATCATTGTCAAGGCTTCCTTCCGTAGATTATGAGGAAGGAAGAAGATGAGAGCACTTATCCGCGAGTGGTAGCAACAGGGAGAGTAAAGAATACTATTGTTGAGATGCCACGTCCGTTAGAAAGGTCCATCAGTAACTTTCTTTCAGGAAGCGTTGATGTTTAAATTTATATTTTCTGCTGCGGCTTGCAGATGGGTCGAGTAGGGCACCACCTAGGGATCGATTTCGTGATTTCTGTGGGTGACAATTTCTACCAAGCTGGGTTGAAAGGCCCCCATGATGCAAAGTTTGACAACTCCTCCGAGGTTTACACCGCACGAAGTTTGCAAACACAATGGTTCGCAGGTACAGATGCGCTCCATCACAGAGAAAAGCCCTCATCCTTCGTCATTGTTGGTAACTTTTTGATCAGAGAATAGAATTTCGTTTAATTTGATATGATCGTCGTAACAATTTTGGCAATTGATGACCTGTTCAAATTCCGTCCTATTGCAGTGTTGGGAAACCACGACTACTTGGGCGATACATTGTTGCAAATTGGGGACCTCCTAACCCAGAAAGACAAGAGGTGGTTTTGTCAGCGATCCTTTCAACTGAAATACTCTCTCTGCGACCCTTCGCACCCCGGCAACCTTCTCACACCGACAAATGCTTTTCAACTGCAGACCTTGTTGTGATTGGATTTTGTACGACCTTCAATGCTATTCGGATTCGCATCCGCTGACCACACATCGCACACCACACCAATTTTGTCTCATGCGATACTCGGCAGAAGACATTCTTTTCCTTCAGATCCTCAACTTGGCTAGATCCCTATCGAATTCACATAATTGGGGCTTCATTGTTAGCGCTCTTGATTTTATTTTGCAGGTTCTTGTGACAAGTTTGTGGAATTCTTCTTCATCGACACAACGCCTTTCGTAGACAAATACTGGAGTAAGGAGGAGCACAGAAAATTCGACTGGAGAGGAATTGGTGGGCGACAAGAGTATTTGGACTCCCAACTAGAAGTATGTCTTAATCACTTTTTATCGAACACGTCATATTCTCATTTTATGGCCAGAAGTAAACCCCGGACTCAATTATAAGATTAGTTCACTTCAACCTTCTATGCCAAGTCTCATTTGTAGTACCGCGTCTTTACTGCCGTGTACCAGACTTTGAACTCAAAATTGGAGTCATCTGTAGCAACATGGAAGATTGTAGTGGGACATCATACGATAAGCAGTCTTGGTCGCCACGGTGACACCCACGAGCTTGTTCGGCAAGTGCTTCCAATTCTGGAGGTTTATTTTTCATCTCTCTTGTAACTCCTCTCTCTTCATTGTATTACAGGGCTTGGACCATTGCTCGCCTGACTGCTGAAGAATTTTTGATTGGCAACATCTAAAGTCTACTCGCAGAGACAGTTCTTCTCCTAACTTGAGTTAATCAACTGTTTCTTGCTCTGTTGTGAATTCTGCAGAAGCATAGCGTGGACCTGTACATAAATGGCCATGATCATTGCTTGGAGCATATTAAACGGCAGGACAGGTAATCAACCTTCTCCCCTCGTTCTGGCCTTAGTGGACTCGGTTCATCAAAATCTCAAAACCTGTCTCGTGAAGTTGAAGTGCCGCATGAACAGAGTAGATTGACCCCTCTGACAAAACCAAACATCAAAACAGTGAGTAACTTACACTAGGTTTGAACAAGAAAAAACCCACCCTGTCAAATCGTGTCTATTGCTCTGTATCACTCAACTTTCCTGATTCACATGTCACAGCTAAAACTTATAAATCTGTTTCCAATTTTGTGTATTTTTCGTAGAAATGAAGATTTTTGAATGTGCTTTTGTCCCCTAAAGAGTGCATTGCTACCCGTCTGTGCAGTTCGGTGCATTTTATCACGAGTGGAGCAGGTTCCAAGTCATTTCAGGGGATCCACGAGGCCACACCTGAAGACGGGCTTCAGTTTGCTATGGATGGGCAGGGATTCATTTCGGTGTCCATGGCTGTTCATGAACTTCGGGTTGATTTTCACGACGCTCTGGGACACAACCTCCACAAGCTTCAACTAACCAAATGAAACAAAATGTCACTCTCACGGTTACGTCAGTTGTAAATAACTACAGTATTCATTAGGAACAATTAGATAAGAGTTCCAATCACAGGTTTCTATTCTTTGTATGATAATCAGCGCTGCTGAAGACCTCGGATGTGTAGAATTTTAAACTTCTACGGTACACACATTTCTGTGTGTGAGTATACAAATACATATGTATAGGAATGAACTTATCTCGAAGACTGGTGGTGGATTTCGACTATTTTGCTTTGCACAACGCAGTTCACAAAATCGGGTCTATAGTCCAGTACCATACAAGCTTTTCATGTACATCAATTCGATTTGATTGGTTGGAGTAATATGCAGTCTAACTTACTGTGCTGCAATTTTCAAAAGCCCTCATATTTCCCTCATTTATTGGCTTGTTCACACCATCAGACGTGGGACCACTTATTTGATGAACGGAGCCCTTAATGAATGGAAGCAGCTTCAAAAAAATTCATTTAAGTCTGTGGTGTAAAATCCCCGAAGTACATTGTTATTATGGAAACTAAAGACAAATTTCTACGTCCATAACTCCAGAAACGTCCAATAAGGAATCTGCAATTATCGCTTTGTCTGACATGGAAAATTTGTTGGAATAACTAAACTCTGAGGCATGCCCTGACATCTGAAGTTCGTCTTCAAGCGCACCAATTAGAGGTGGATGTTGTTCCCGCGTTGACGTCCACATGAAATTTATCATGTCACAGATGAAAAATAAATCAGCTCATGTGATTGATGACAGTCGTTGGGCCAGGTCGAATCCATTTTGCTACCGATACTAAAAGCAAAGAAAAAGAGCAGAAAAAGGCTACAACACAATTGCTTCCGAAGCACGAATACGTCACTTGTAATTTAAAGCAGACCAAACCCGAGTGTGAAAACGTATTCGGGGAGCTGGTCATCCGTGTTGTGGTCCATCCTTATCGGTTGCTAGAGAGTCACCATATCGTTCGCAACCACGAATACTTGTGCAATTGTAGCGGTCAGAGCGAACTTGGTGTGCACAGATTTGCTTGTACAATGGGGTACAACGTGTTCATACAAATGTCTACAAAAAGGGCAAAACATGCACTTTCTTACACATCGTTGACGATAAAGGTGAGACAGAAAGGCGTTCGGGCCTTCTTCGTGTTGGCATGAACAAAGATCACAAAGCATGAACATTAGAATCAGCTCTTAAGCGTTTCAGAAAATCGCGAAGCAAGTACATCTCACTGATCTACAGCCACCGACCAGCTTCACAATTCTGCAGAATTCCAATACCGATTTCTCAAACACGAAGCCACACTCCACTCGCTCTCTGTCTCACAAATTCCATTTACCACACAAATCAAAACCTTGTTGAGAGTGATTGACACAAATTCAACTCCTTCCCTTGGCTCTTCATAATTCTACCCAGTTTCTTTCGACACCCACCTCACCAAACCCCATGACATTTCACAGTGCAATGTGGTGTAGAGTCTTTGCATAACATCCTTATTTCTCCATAGCACGAAACATGGGTGTATTCTACTTCATCTTTCTCCCTCTCTCTCGCTCACTCCAAGGTTGTAGATTCCTTTTTTTCTGCCAAACCTGCGTGGAATGTTACTGGATCAACAATCCTACCTTCGTATTTACTGCAATGGGGTGATGTTTTTTCATTGCTGGGACTGTCCCCTGCAAACACTGTGTTGATGTTGCTTCAAGTGTGTGTGTGTGCTTGTATGTATATACGTATATATGCATACTGCTGAATGGAAACTTGCACTAGTGAGTACAAAGTTGATTCTTGTGAATCTTCGTTCATCTGATATTTAGAAAACATTTCTTATCAACAAAGTTTTTTTTTTTTTTTTTTTTTTTTTTTTTTTTCCTTAATTTTTATATACGGAAGTCAAATAAAAGTGCAATCTTGACCAGAAAAATAGGTTTATAAGTCATATATTTGTATATATATATATATATATATATATATATACATGCATTGCTTTATTTTTCTTTTATTGCTTACATTCCAAGTGGAATTTTCTTTCTTTTTTTCAAAAATAAATATTTATTTAAACAATTTGGATAAAAGATTGTTATATATATATATATATATATATATATATATATATATATAATCTTATTCTTAATTAATTTTTTATGTAAAGCTCTAATTAAAGTTTAACTAGTGCACTTAAGAAAGATGAGTAGATAGGTCTATATGATGCAATAGAGAGCCAACAACAATAACCTCTTTGCTCTACAAACTAGGTCTAATTGTACAAATAGACCAATCCATCACAATCCATGGCCATTACTCTACATCAATTAGGAGCTCAATCTTAGGTATTATATTAGAATAAAAAAGTCTTCTGGAAAGTTGAAAGAAGGACCAAATGGTGGTATCAGACAAAATAGGTACAAATTTGAAGAATTTGTACCTAAAATTATGATTTTAAGTGTTTTATAAAAATATCAAGAAAATTCAAAATATCTTGAATTATTCTATAATTTAATTGAAATCATTAATTATGATCTTTTAAGTTATAGTTAGAAAATAAAACATGAATTAATAGAATATTTAATCAAATTAGATAGGAAATTCTTAAACTTTGCATTAAATTTTAAAATAAATTCTAAAACTTAAATCTTGAACCTCTATTGCCAATATTTTAGAATAATCTAACAATTGGTTGCTTATTATTGAGCTACCTACAAAACCTAAGACAATTATCAAGCACCTATTCTTTTTTTTACATAAAAATGATTAGTAAATGAAGTAAAAAGATCAAAGTACAAGATGGGTATTATTTTTTGCAAATATCTAATTTTGTATGTTATATTTTTCTATTATCTCTCTAAGTATTTGGGTGTAAGATGATGATAGCATGTATTACATGTTATTATTAATACTATGCAATAGAGCAGTTTTGTATCCACACATGTCAAAAATAAAATAAAATAAAACAAAAAAAAAACCAAAAAAGAAATAAAAAGAGAAGAAAGTAAATGTTAAAAACCTCCAAGTGAAACTTTTAATACCAAGAACATGGTAATCTTATTTTTCTAAATAAAATAGGATTGCAAGCTTCGTGTCCTATGTTTGACAATGCCAAGTCACAAGCTGGCCTTAAATACTCTTTTACGCAGGAGGCAGACATGAAGTTGTGCCTATAACCGATAGGAGGTCAGTCGTGCATTTAATGCTTTTCTTTTCCGCATCATTCACTCACAGAAACCTCATTTCATCATCGAAAACACATTAAATTTTTTTAATCAAAATTGGTAGTCGACTGTTGAAAATGAATGTTCCTCACCTATTAAAACACACTTCACACATCAATCGCAGACTCCTCCATCACACACACACACACACACACACACACACACGAATGTTATCGTTTACATGAGCTCTGTCTTGATTCCTTTCAGTTAATTTTGAAATTCTTTGCTTTACTTGTAGTCACTTTGCAAAGTGAGTTGGAATCAGTTTTTGTAAAGGCTCGTGACTCAAGACTGCGACCATGAAAAGCCATGACCTTGACAGCGTGGAGCCAGGCTTCAGTGAATTCACATAACACCAGAAATGACCCGTTTGGTGATTTCCAATAAAGTACATTACAGTGGAAGCTCCTGGTTCCTATGAATGAGTAAATGAATGAATGAGCTTCTGGAAGATAGAGAGAGCGAGAGAGGATAAGTTTCACGGCGAATGACGGCGTGGAAGGAGAGCGCAGCATTTACCTCCATCTGATGCCAGTGCATGGCCACTCTTAAGGCGTCACGTACCACGGCTTTCCTGATCATAACCCTTCATATCATCACTTTATTGGATCACACCCTCATTTATCCTGGCCATTCAATAGCTGTAAAAACTGTCCACACCATCGCTGATTTGCTTGTAGACTTTAAAAAAAAACACAAAAGCAGAATCAGGGAGTTTTAACTCCTCCCGGTGACTGAACACTGGGCTGACACTCCCGAGGCAGCGAACGTTTCATTCTCGAGGTTTGAATTAGCAGCAGCTAAAAAAAGAATTGGGTACAACCGTTGACGGTTGTTGCAGGAAAATCTGGTAGAAGAGCTCATCATCATCATCATGTGGCGATGAGGTTTCAGGTCGACACCGACGTCCGGTTGAAGCTGCCACGTTCGGTAGAAAGGGGGGGGGGGAGTTTCGTAGACAGGCATGAGTGTGGGGTCTGATCTATATGTAAGCAGCTTCGGTGTCCGTGTGTTTGTTTAATCCTCGTCCCCTGCCAGTCCTGCTGCACTGGAAGTACTTTTGCTTCACTGGTGTGATGAGCTCGTTGTCGCTGCAGCTCGTCATGCTCCCCTCGGGCTGCTAGAGCTCCATCGCCGCATTCTGTTTTTGGCACATGATGCGGCTGGTGGGTTTGTAAGTTTGTGTGTCTGTGCAGCATAATCTGTGCTGAAGTTTGGGTTAGAGTGTAATGACTCCACTCATAGAGTAGATGCTGTTGTGAACATGAATTAAGTTGAGGCCCCTAATGCGTTTACCTCGTCGTTTTGCAAATTTTTCTGTGTTCGTCAAACCCTTCGTGTTTTCAAGCTGTTTACCACCAAGCTCATGAACTCAAACCACTGAAGGGAATGGTAGCGGAACAAGGTTGTCTTCATGCGAATTCGGCACCGGGAAGACTTTTTCTATGTGTTTGAGGGTATGATGTGCGGGTTGGCGATGTGGGTCACCTAGGAGATGTAGGAAGGGTTTCTTTTGGGCAGGTTTCAGGGTTCAGGTAAGCTAAGAGGTTCTACAAGTTGGACTGTGTGAAGAATCTGGCACCATGACGGCAACTGGGGCTTTCATTACCTCGCTCTTGACCTCGTTCGCTGTCTTCTGCGGACTATTGGCAGCGTTTGCTGTTTTGTCTAAATTGAAGGTTAACTACAACATCTACTATCCGTCGCGGATGATTTCGGGCCTCGGACCTACAGGATTCGCTAAAAAGCAGAATCCGCTTGAGTGGATGAAGGAGGCTATCATGACGTCCGAGGAGGAACTTGTTCGGATCGCCGGCCTTGACGCAACCATCTACCTCAACTTCTTCGTTGCAGGTGGGTTCCTGACGAGTTTGTTGGATTAAAATTGGGAGTCACAATGATTGCCTGGAATTCGAGTGCTGTGCAGAATTATGTGCTTTCTTCAAAATACACTATTTCTACATACAACGAGGCGGATGATAAAGGAACCTGAGCATTAGTGCCACTCCTCGTAGCTATCTGTTCGGCTCTGTCCAAAAGCGCCATAACTGAGTCATTTGTAATGAAAAACGAAACTCTGCGTATCTGTTTGTTATCAAAAGGGGCTCTCGTCTGTGTTAGCCACTAAATAACAAGGCTATTCTTTATATGAATTGGTTCCATGGCATTAGACTGTTTGCCAGGTCATTTTGTGCTCCCTTTCTCTTTCTTTTTTCTGGGAGAAGATCCGTTCCAGTCAGCGTGAGGCTTTTCTTGATGCGCATGTCATAGTGCCTGTTCTCGGTAACATTAATTTTAATTTTGAGAAATGATTATTAGATTTCTTGCCTATTGGTGAGAACCTTTGGATAAAGTCATCCAAAAGTACGCATTTCTGTTGTAGAAATTCAGCAAATCGGCCACACTCATTCTGGAGATTCAAGCAGTGGTGTCCACTATAATAGACGCATTGAATTTGTGTTTCTTCCTGTTGCGTGTATTACTCATTTCTAGCCAAAATTTTAAGTTAAACTAACACTGTTCATACTGGTTTGAACCAATGTGGCCTTCAACCTGTGGTGTGGCTAACAGTGCTGGAGATTTTCGCATACTCTTCTCTGTTTTGCATTCCCGTCCTGATTCCGATCGCAGCCAAGAGCCACCACAATGAAGAAGCCTACCGATTGGATCCTAATCAAACTTATGCAGGCTTCGACAATCTTGCTATGGGCAATGTAGAGGTCAGTAAGGTCACGTACTGGATGTAATGTGTTCATCAAATGATTGCTATGGTTCTTACTCCCAGAAACGAAAGTAGAATGATGACTTGGTTTTCAACAGGAAGGAACCACGAAACTTTGGGCGTTTCTTGTGGGTACCTATTGGGTGTCTTTTGTGACGTACTATGTGCTTGCGAAGCACTACAAGAAGATGATTCATTTGCGGGGTAAGGAGCAAGCTTATGAGAAAGCTGCACCCCAACAATTTACTTGTCTGGTTCGAGACATTCCGCCAGTGCCGAAAGGCATGACCCGGCTTGAGCAAGTGAACAGTTTCTTCAAGAAAATTCATCCCGATACTTATGAAACCTGCATGGTCGTGACGAACATCAAGAGGGTAAAATGGTCTCATCCTATCTAGGTTCACTAAATTTATTCAGAATTCACTCAATTGTTTGCGAAGGTTCACCGGATCCTAGTTCATGACACGAGCAGAGCCATTCTTAATCGCAAATGAGGTTTAAGGTGTTCTCAGGTTTGTTTTTTGGAATCAACAGTTGCTGAAAATCTGGTTGAAGTATGAAGCGGCCAAGAAGAATTTGGAGCATGCTGAAGCGGTGTGCGAGGAACCAAAGTCGACTGCCACTCGTGAAGTTACTCGTCCAAAACACAAATTATATTTTTTTGGGCTGATTGGTCCAGAAGTAGACTCCATCAACTTTTACAGAGAGAAAGTGAGGGAGCTTGGACGACTTGTTGAAGTGGAACAGCAGAGAACGCTCAAGGAGGAGCAACTTGGAGCCGCTTTCATATTCTTCAATAATCGGCGAGCTGCTGCTGAAGCTTCACAGGTACTTGTTAATAATACTTGTTGTGAATTCATGCTTCCTTCGAATTGTGTGATCATCACCTGTATCTAATACTCACAGCATTCATCTACGCACTTCAAAAGTTGGTACATCTGAATCACTGTATTGTTACCATACATGTGGTCCTTCAGGCTGTGCATGCGCCATATGCCATGCAGTGGCAAGTATTTCCGGCACCAGAGCCCCGTGAAGTTGTTTGGCAAAACCTGGCCATTCCTGTTTACCAGCGAATGGTCCGCCAGGGTGTGGTCTACTGCATGGTATTCATGACAGTCTTGTTCTACATGATTCCTATTGCGCTCATTTCATCCTTCACCTCTCTTGAAAACCTTATCAGGGTACTCCCCTTCCTCAAAGTCGTTGTCAACTATCCCCCCATCAACACAGTCCTGCAGGTGAGTGCATTCCACAATTTCTCCAACCTCATCCAATGATTACTTGCAGCAGATAGCCACTCTAAAATCGATTTATTCTGTCGTTGATACTAGTGAATATTTCAAACTTGAATTTCATAGTGGACTTTTTTGGCTTGAAATATGTAGGCCTACTTGCCTCAGCTTGCCCTCCTCGTTTTCATGAACCTTCTGCCATCACTATTGATGCTATTGTCACGGCTAGAAGGCATCCCCTCCCAGAGCCATTTGGTACGAGCAGCCTCTGGGAAGTACTTCTACTTCATAGTGTTCAATGTGTTCCTCGGGGTAACACTGTTTGGGACCGTCTTCTCCTCTATAGCTGGATTCAAAGAACTCAGAAACTCCAAAAACTTTTCGGTGAGCAGTGTTGTCACTCTTTTTGGAAGCAGGCTGCCCCCTGTGGCCGCATACTTCATCACATACGTTGCCCTTCAGTAGGTCCCTTCCTCAACTCCCAATTTCTTTCATATTGGCATACCAAGACCTTCATGGCTTCAATTTCTGAATTTCAAGTTTGATTAATTATTGACGATCTCTCTCTCTCTCTCTCTCTCTCTCTCTCTCTCCCCCTACCTTTTCATATTTCTGACATTTACTGTGTGCCAGGAATTTTATTGGCTATGGGTTGGAATTGTCACGTGTTGTTCCACTGGCCATTTATCACCTGAAGAGGAGGTTTCTCATCAAAACACAGAAGGAGCTTGATGCAGCATGGGCCCCACCAGCATTCACTTACCACACTTTGGTCCCAACTGACATCCTTATCTTGATGATCTCAATGGCCTACGCCGTAATTGCCCCTCTCATTCTCGTGTTCGCTCTCCTCTACTTTGCAATCGGCTACGTTGTCCTCCGCAACCAGGTTGGCTTCGATTGACTCCCAATTCAACCCATGCTTCAGTCTGAAACACATTTGCACATGAATGCATTCGACTCTGCTGACCAGTTTCTGACTGTAATAGGTGTCGAAGTACAAAACGTTTAATGGACTAGAGATCCAAAATATGTAGTGGACACCTTAAGGTGACCAAGTCAAAAGAGTCAAAATTTGTGGCCGCAGACGTACACTAGTCTCTGGAACTGACAACAACTAACAAGCCTGCCTTCGAGATCTTGCAGGCTTTGAAGGTGTATGTCCCTGCCTTTGAGAGTGGGGGACGTATGTGGCCCCATATTCACACACGGATTGTTGTAGCACTGTTCGTGGGGCAAATCACAATGATCGGTTACTTCGGCATCAAAAAATTTCCATATGCTGTGCTGGTGATCCTCTTGCCCCTGATTACAATCATCTTCGCCACCATGTGCAGGATAAACTATTATCCTTCATTCCGGGTCACTTCACTTGCCATCGCTGTTGAGGACGTGAAAGAGTCTCCTCCTCTTCGCAAGATCATTGAAGTCTACACACCTTCATGCTTGCTGAATGTTGAAACTATCTGCGAAGACAGCGACAAGTTTGAAGATGCACAGTCCAGCATCGGCTCAAGATCTATGTCTAGATCGAATTCAGTTGTGCAAACCTGCACAGAGGAGTTCCATGCTCTCTGATGGCAACTGTGCACTGTCGATGGGGTTATGCTAGATGGACTCTCTCTCTCTCTCTCTCGCTCTCTATCTCTCTCTATCTATCTCTCTTGTGGACATAGTAGTTGAACGGTGTCTTTTTTGTTGACAGACCATTCATAACGAGTTTGATTGTGTAGCTGGGAGTCATGTCCTGCCAATTTCGTAGCTCCCCCCGCCCCCCACTATGAAGCTGGATGGGCATTGACTGTATATTATGCAAAATGTGACAAAACGTAATTAGGACCCTAAATGTGATATTGTTCTCTCATCCTTTTGTTCCGTTTTGGTCTGCTGCATGTGGCCTGTGAGCACTAAATTAACTCATCTGAATTCATGCGAAGTGATTTCTTGCTATCTACTCCCCAAGCTGTGCAGATTATTCGGCTGTGACTGTTCATTGATACATGTGCCTTCATTGATACATATGTATATGTTCTCTTGTAGAAGTTTTACTTTGCGTATGCGCATGGAAAGTCTTTGTGAACTCTTAATCTCTTGCTTACAGATTAGTTTTAGAAAATTCCATTCAAACTTTAGCTACTATCTTTCTGTTTTCACATCATTTATGTGAAATAAATTAATGCCCTATTCAATGTCCTTGGACTTAATTCTTTTTAAAAGAAGATTTCAAATATATATATATATATATATATATATGTGTGTGTGTGTGTGTGTCCAAATAACTTATTAAAAATGAAGAATTGTGACCAGGAGGGAATTATCTATGTCTTTGTTGTTTGCTTCATGTATCTGACAAATTTTTCCTTATATTATTTGCAGGCAGAGTGCGAGATATAGATATCACCATCTACCTATTTCAAAAAATAATAATTTCAGTTCTAATGCGAATAAAACTTGAGATAAAAAGAAAATACAGGGTAATGTCCTTGTGATAATAAATGACGACGAATTGTTACAAGAATGATCCTTTCACTTTGTGAAATTGTACAAATTATATACTTTGAAAAATTGTACTATTATTTATTAAACCAAAATATATTCTCTGTGACCTATAATACTATTGATAAAATAAAACTTGTTCAATATTTATCAAAATTTCATCATGGATGGTTGATTTTTTAATTTCTACTTAGAATTGTGTTCATGTAAATTTTTACAATCTATTAGTCATGTTCATAAAGGTTGTATTTCATTGTCATACCATATTATAAATAAGAAGATTTTTTATTTTATTTTAAGAGCCATTCTTTTGCTTTAGAAACAACATGTTAGGTTAAGCCTTTGGAAATAAAAGAAATCAAAAGTATTTAGTAGAAATCTAGATTAATAGTGGTTAATTGTAGAAGTACAGAAATATTTAATATATGATGATTATTTATATTTATTATATATAAAAATAAATACAATAATATATGAATTAATGTAAATTTAAATTAAAACAAGAATTATCTGTGATTAAACAAAATATGTATAACTTAAGATAAGAATTATTAAAAAAAATTGAATTTTTTCTATTTGTGAAGAAAATATAATTTATTATTTTATTCTTAAAAATATTGATATTTATAATATATATATTTTTTATTTTTTTAAAAAAAATTTAAAAAATCAATCAAGTTTTAATTTCATCAATTCTTGCATAAATATCACATATAAACATATGTAAATGTGCATATATATATATATATATATATATACATATTTAATTTTTTATACCATTTTAATAACTGTTTATCTAAAAATAATATTTAAACTATTTATGTAATTTTTGAGATTTTTTTCCAGATTAGAAATTAAAATCATAGATGATTTATTAAATTATAATTTTATGAAAGTTTTATTTTAATTAAGTATTTGAATTTATAAACTAATTTTACATTTTATGATAAAATATTCAAATATTAAATAAATTGATAACTATTTTTTATATTATAAATTACACAGATTTTGTAGATTAAAACTTTTAAAAGTCAACTTTGTAATGTTTAATGTGTTTAACAAATATTTATTGTTAATTATTTTATATATTTTATTATATTTTATTTTTAATATTTATTAAGTATGCAATTTATTGAAGAGAAATATATATATATATATATATATATATATATATATATTTAATTCTTAAAACATTTGTGTTAAGGTTTAAACTACACCAAATTCATTATTTTACTAAAAATTGAATTATAATATTATTATTTCGATTTAAATATACTTTTTGCTTGAAACACTTGAAATAAAAACGAGTACTAATCTTTTGATTAGATTACTATTCTTGGATAATAAAAATATTATTATATAAATAAATGTATAAATGGTTGAATAGGTGCATGTAAAATACATAGATAAACATGTTTGATTTTAACATGAAATTATGATGATTTATATAATTTTGACCTTGTTAATTTACAATTTAGTCAAATTTTTGCTTTTAATAACAAAAAATAGATAGATTTAAGTTAAAGAAAAAATAATAAATAAAATAAAATACTTATTTAAATATTAAAAAATATAATATAAAGATTTAATATATGATCAAGATATAGTAGAATGTACATGTCAAGTTTAAAATTATTCAATTATACATTAGATTTAGTGATTATTAGTATTAATAATATTACTATTATCATTATAATTATTTATAGATTAATTTTTAAAAATATATAAAAAAAATACAATACATAATATAATTTGATCTAAAATAGAAATAAAAATGGAAGGATCTTTAGTTGTTAAAGCATAAGCCAAAATGTATTTCAAAACTAGCTGCTAGTGTATGATTTCATGAGTTTTTGTAAGAAATAAGAGTAAATTGTGTTGGTTGTATTTATTGGTATTAGTATATTTTAAGAGCATTGTACTTTTGTTTGATTGATTTAAAATATTGTAATCTTTGTATACTTTCTATACAGTTTCAATTTTTCTTCTTCTAAATTTATTATTACTAAAACCTTAAATTACTTATAAACAACAATAAATATAAACCATGAATTGAAAAGATATAGATTTAAACATATTTGGTTTGATGCATAAATTTTAAAAACACATTCAAACTAACTATTTCAATTAAAAAATTTGCTCTAGATTGAGATGTTTTATTGACTACCATTTGATTGATACACATTATACAATGAAAAGAGGTGACAAAATTTGAGAATGTTTGCATAAAGGCAAAATCTAGGAAAAAGGAAACAATCAAATTTTCATCAAAGATTACCATATTTTAGAAAATGACAAAAAGTAATAATAACTCATCTGCTATCATAAAGGAAATCAAGAACTGCAATAAAAGACACAACATAGAAACAATTCACATAATTATCTTCACTAAGTAATACATATTTTTCTAGAAATTCAACACCAATTGACCTAAAATCAATCATAACTATATAAAGACACTTATATTTATTTATTGATTAAAATCCCAAATCCCAAATCCCCAAGTACCAATTCCTCCCCCTCCCCTCCAAACTCTCCTCCTCTACCCATCACCATCAAATAAAGTTAACAATAAAAAAATAAAAATAAAAAATAAAAAATAAAAAACTCCACGCAAGACAAACAAAAAGAGAATGATGCCAACGGACACTCTCTCTCTTATAAACCAAAATTGTATTTCTTCGTTTACCAACCAAAACTTCAGCGAAAATCCAGACATGAAGCTCACAACCGACATCTCCGAGCCACAAAAGTGAATGAGCTTTACAGGAACTGGTAATATTGCTTAAGAAACACCAGTTTAGACAAGTGCAGCATATTTCTATATAGATAGATAGATAGATAGATAGATAGATAGATATATATATATATATATATAGAAACAGGTAGAGAAGAAAAGTATGACCCATCAATCAAAAAGGTGAAGACTGCTTCATCTCAACATCTTCCTGTTCCTGCTCCGCAACGTCACCGTCATCGTCTTCTTATTCTACAGCCACCATGGCAAGCTAGACTTCAACAAATCCAACAATCCATGGTGATCAGAATCTGCTTCACCATCAACATGTGGGTCGCATGAAGAATACACACACACACACACAGCGAGAGAGAGAGAGAGACTCGCAACAACAACACCGATAGTGTCAAGCGCCGCAGGAGTGTGCAGGGCTTACACTGTTGTTGCGAGGGATCGACAGTGGATTGCGAGCTAGGGTTTGCGATGATGATGATGGATCAGTCGATGTTTCTGCCGCAAGTGATGGCGTCTTGTGGGGTGAGAACGAGCTGGTTGTTGGGCTCTAGAGTGATCCCTTGCGATGCAGCGAAGGTGAGGAGGTCGGGCAACGGCGTGTCGTCGTCCAATTGCGGCTTCCGGGACAACACGTACAGGGACTGGAACCCACCAGCTTCGCCGTCGCAGCTGTACACGATTGCGGTCTCGTACTTTTCTCTTGCTTCGCCGCTCACGTAGATGATGCGGTAGTCGGCTACGGGGCCGCCGAATGAGACCGTCAAGGTGCGGTTTGTCACGGTGGCAGTACCGAGGATGGTGGAGAATTCGCCTGAGCTCGTGTTGTAGCCCTCGTTACGGACGCGGATGGTGTTCGCTTCGATGAGAGAGTATCTTGCGGTTATGCATGCCAGGTTTTGCTCTGTGAAGCTCTTGATGAGAGCTGTGCTTCCGATCTCGTACCACACGCCTAGGTATGACGGTAGGTCGACGTTGGGGAGGGCTGGATTAGCGCAGGTGGTCTGCAAATAGTGTAATTGTGTCCACCGTCTTGGTTAGAATGGCGTGTTTCGCTGAAAAAATAGACACATATGTACTGTTCTAAACAAATCCTTCAGTGCCCTTTGGTGTTGAATTCGGGTTTGAGTGTTGCACTGTCGTGAGCAATACTAGAAAGTCTGATTCAAAGAGTGCGGAAAGGGCGTCCATCCCCATAATCCCGACAGGAAGCATCCAAGTTGTCGGTAGAGTTCATCAAAATTAAAAGGCAAACGGAATTAGAAATTCGTGAACCACGAATTGGCAAGCACATCTTAGACACACTGAAACGTTTGTCGGTAAGCTCCACCCGACTATTTCATTCACAGCAGTTTTAAAGAAGAACTGAAGAAAAACGAAGCAGCGCTACTTGCAGGAGGAAACCACCAAACATTTCTATGGAGAAAGGTGTCGACATGAAAACCAAGCATAACTTGCCTGGAGAAGTGACCGCCTTGCGTCAGCTCCCCCTGCGAAGCAAACCACCACAGCAACGACTAAAAACAGCCATATTGTGTGATACGGCGTCCGCTCCATGTTATTTGGAATTTGTACACCACCAATCACAAGAGAATCCTCACACGATCTGGAATTTGAAATGCTTTGGTACAACATCTGTCTTCACAAATTGAATTCCTACGCAGTGAGTGTGTTTGCTTCAAATTTATAAGGAATCTTAGGTGTTACTTGGTCCAGAGCTCCTCGGTCTTTCGAAGTGGACTGCCAGATGGCAATTTTGGTGGTTTGCCTGGTTCTGCGTAGACCAGTCATTACCGTCCAACCAGGATGTAGTGCGGAATTTTGATGAGATTGTCAACAGTGTCCACCGAGCAGACGCGGCATGCAGTCAAAAAGATTTTAAGATAATTTGGCTCAAGGACAAGCTCCCAAAACAGGTGGGCGGATGGATAAACCCACAGCAGCTCAACAGTAGTGGTATCATCGAGTACCAGCAGGAAGTAGGATTCATGCATCCTTCAGTGGAAGAGCCAAAAAGTTCACACAATAATAATATTAAAAAATAAAAACGAAGACGCAACCATTCCCTGTTGAGTGAGGAATTCTATGAGGGTGCCCTCAGTTCAGAAATCAGGAGCACCAGCAATCCTGCGGTGAGATCGGCTTACCTTTTTCCCACATAGTATAGGTACTACAGAAAGTTGTCGCTGCTGAAACACGGCACCTCGAAGACCATATGATGGTGGCCACTTTTGTAGGTGGAAAGCTCACCCCGCCTCTCTTTGCGAAATGGCTCTCTACTCTGAACGCAAGTCTGGGAGGAGGCTCAGTCATGGCTAGTGATGATTCAGGCAAGGGATTTTTTGCTTAAAAGCTTCCAGCTCGGAAGTCGCACGCCAATTGCTTGTGTTGACTACATATCGATTGGTTGGTGTCCTCTGTATATTTCAGCAATGGACAGCCACCTTCGACTCTACCACGCACAAAGGTATGCTAGTACCTACTTGGATAACTTTGAAAAAACTTCCCGTGCAATTCACCTATGTTGCATCCACCATTGCAAGCAGTCTCGGCAAAGTGCTTGCAGCTGATGCGGGTAATACTTTTTTTGTTGAATAATGCTTTTGTGTAGTCCTTGATACAACCAATGGCTGGTAAACAGAATTGGAAATTGAAGATCACATTAATCAAAGGTTAATTACCATCCTGGTAGACTATACCCATTTACCAATCAGGTGCAGACTCTATCTCACGGTGTCCTATAAAATTAGAGATTGCCCACACCGATCTGGAGCGGGTCAACACATTCCACGAGATGAGCGATCCCCAGACTGCGATACAGGAGGCCCTCAGCACAAGCCAAGTCCTTCCTCGACATATGCTAGAAGAGGACTGCACCCACGACATGCACAACTTGATAAAGACGGATTTATAACAGTCGGCGGCCGCGGTCATGAAGGGAAGCCATGGACACCGCCACAGGCCAAGCTTCCCTTGGAACCGCTTCCCACGACAGCGACTCTGCCCAGCCTTGCAAACGAAGTTCAATCCAATGTAGGCAATGTCAACATTCATACCCCACCAACGGTACTCGAAGATCCCGCTACTACACTGACTACAAACTTACCACTCCGGGATGAGCCCTTATATACTATGTCCCCTACAAATTCTACATCTAACTCTATGTCCTCTGCCCAGGTCTCCCCTATCGGCTCTCTTGACGTTGTTGAATCCGAACCCGCCGTAGCAGCGCCGTTTGAAGGCCAGCCTCCACCACCACAGCAGGCTTCCCTTCATCCAGCGATAGTCTCTCCATCAATAAGCCCCTATATCAACGTTATTCAAGATCAAGCTTTCCTTCATCTTGCACTGGTCACTCCATTTGCAAGCCACCATGTCAATGTTACTCAAGATCAGACCCCACTGATGGGTCTGACCGCATCCCCAGTACATCTCTTCCTGCTTCAACGACTAGAGGGTCAACAGGCCGAGGATTCCTGCCCAATTCCCATCACCGCAGTTGACATGCACCTAGCGAGTTCTTTTTCAGCGGCACAACAAGCTCAAGCATTCACGTGGGATCACCTACCACACATTGATTTCAATGCCAACCTTGCTATAGCCCCACTACGACAATGGTTTACATAAGCAGTTCCTGGCTATAATATAGATGGCTCGGAGGGTCTTAGGAAGAGGTGGAGTTTGCCCCACTAGTCACTAGCAGCGGTGTTATCATGAATAATCAAGTACTTTGGATCCAATTTAGTGGTCTTTCAAGGGGTGATTTGGACATTCTCAATTTGTATGCCCCAATGAGCAAACCATGTTTTGGAATGAAATATCATTCTCTTTACCACTAAACTGTTGTTGGCAATTAAGTGGTGATTTTAATATGGTGGAAAAAACAATTGATATAACCTCCCATTGTAGTTGCATTTTGTTGGTGGAAGAAAAAGCTTTATAGGAACAACTCAGAAATCAATTTAATCTTGTTGATTGCTCCCAATTCCAAGATAAGCTATGTTTTTCATAGGACAATAGAAGAAAAGATGGAAGTAGAATTATGGCACATCTAGACAAACATTATATCTTAAGTCATATTAATCCTAGCTTATGGGAGGCTATGCGCAATTACAAAATTTTGGAAGACTCAACACTCTTTGATCACTTATTAGTTTGCATTGAGCTTATTTTAGAGGATGTAGTATGCAACAAGAGCTTCTTCAAAATAAATACTTCTTATTTACAAGATCCAACTTTAAAAGAAATAGTAAAGCATATTTGGAAAGCCAATTGTTGTTCTTCATTAATCTTTTTTTTATTAGGCTTAGACAATTTATACAAAAATATAAAGCTTTTAGCAAATAAAAAATGGATGAATTTCATAGGCATGAAAAATCCTACTGCTTAGCCTTCTACTTAGTCCAAGAATTATTACAAAAAGATCCCTATAACCCTAAATTACAAAATTCGGTATAATCTTGCAATGAAGAATTCTTTACAATGGAAACTTGTAAGAATATAGGGAAATAGATTTGATTGAAACTTTGATGGAAATTTATAGGCAATTCTATGAATAAAGAGTTTTTTTTTATTATTATTTGTAAAAGTTCTATCAAATCCAATATTACTGAATTGCTAAAGAAGTCATGCACTAGCATCACAAGACATATTACAATAATATAGGAGTACAAAGAATACTTCTCTACATTATATTATGAAGTGCCTCAAATTGCAATAGAAATAGCAACTGAAGGAGAGATCTTGGAAGCTCTTCCAAACAAATTTTTCTACTTTTGACTAAGGAATTAAAGAAATACATGTCAACTATGGAACTTTATTCACCTATTAGTTATATGGCTATAGAATGGGCTTTTGGACTTGATGGTATAACACTTCAATTTTTCATAGACTATTGGCAAATCATCAACTCAAATTTTGTACAAATGGTCTCAATCGCAATTAATTAGGAGTCATTTCTAAAGTGTGTAACTAAAGGCCTTATTATTCTTATTCCAAAAACAAGAGATAAATATATCTTTGATAATTGGAGACCTATTACCTTCTTTAATGTGTCATACAAAATTTGTACAAAAATATTACAAAAGCAACTTCAAGATTATTGTAGTAGTATTATATCTCATGATCAAAGTGCCTTCTTTTCAATCATTTTATACTAGATAATATTTTATTAACACACAAGACTTTGACATGGACTAAGAAATCTAAATAAAATTCTATTTTCTTAAGTTAGACTTTTCTAAGGCATATAATAGAGTTAATTGGTAATTTTTATTTAATACTATGTCTATCTTAGAATTATACTAAGAAATTTTCTTTTATTGAATACTATGTCTACCTTGAAATTTCTCCAAGAAAATTTCTTGTCATTGATACTATATAGGATCAAAATTTGATGTCGGTGAATTTTTACTTAATTGTATTTAGAAAAAACTTACATTTTGGAGCATAGATAAGCTTTTTTAGATGAAGGATAACTAATTGTTAATCAAGTCTTACTTTTAAATCTTTGGTATTTTATTAGAATATAAGTGGGTTCCAAAAAAATTATTAAGAAAATTAAAAGCCTCCTGCAAAATTAGTTATAGACTGGATATGAACACAAAATTTATACTTGAGTAGCTTGCTATATATGATTTACAACAAATCCTTAGGGAGATTAAGTCTCACAAATTAAGTCAATGCAATGAATATTTTACTTAACAAATGGATCATTTGTACTTGTGAGCCAAGAGACTCTAATCTTCAATTTTTTTTGAAATATAAACTTTCTTAATTCCAACCAAGACACAAAGACAAGTGGCTAGTTAATCCTTTATGGTTCCTTAAATTAAAATCATTGTAGTTTTTCCAGTTCCAAAATTTGGAACTGAGTTACTCAAGCATGGAAAAAGATTGTAAGACATCTCAAAATAAATATCCAACCATATTTGAAGATGTTTTAAATATTGAACTCTGATACAATCAAGAGTTTTAGCAATCCATTTGGCTTGCTTTTTCTTATCATTAAGCCTTACGACAATTTAATTGTGGATTACAAAGAATTAATGATTGTTGGTTCAAACTCTCAAAAAGTCTATTTTTATAGAAAGAAGCTAAATAATTTTTTTTCTCATTGAACCCAAAAAAACAAGTTGAGAAATAATTTGCATAGCTAACCAAAATTCATATGATAATCAACTTAATGCTAGAGTCATAGCAACTAGTGCTAAGAAATGGTTGGGTTTGTTTTTTTCTTTGATGGATCTAACTCCACGTTTAATCTTACATACAAGATAAAGTTTTTTTTCCACAATGTGATCAAGAAATAAGGCTCCATGCAATAGACATTTAGAGAGATCTATTTATTATTACAACAATCTGACATCACTTATCTAAAGTCTAAAACATTAGACTATGGTTTCAAACCTCAATCATGGAACAATGGCTACAAGCAACCACAAACATTGAAATCTTCCACCTTCAATGTTTTCCATGACAAGTGAAAAAGCAAGCCAAATGTCTAGCTTGAGGTCATCATTAAAAAAAAAAAAAAAAAAAAAAAAAAAACTTCACTTCTTCTATGGTTTGATTGATGGGCTCAAGTTTGATCTTATATGGTACCAATGGCAAGAAAAAATCTCTTTTTTGGATTTTACCACTAATGCAATAAGGGCTAATCTAACAAAGCCAAATAATCTGGTGGATCTACATGCTTCTAAATGGAAAAATCAACTCTCCTTGAATATCAAATTTAATTGGAAAAACACCTCGCACAAGCGTTGTGCATAAAAGGAAGGAGCCTTCATATGGAGTATTTATCATAAAGCAATTGCAATCAATGATTGGAGGGCAAAATTAAGTCCAATGTAGACATGTCATGTCTATTCTGCCCCAACATCCTAAAGACTATCTTGCACAGATTTTGTGAGTGTCCAAAGGCAATACATACATAACAATGGTGTAGCTCTCTTCTTCATGCACTAGAAAGGAAGCCAAGTACTCCTGTGAATCCATTCACATTTGGTAGGCAGCAATGCTTGTTCTCTAAACCTCTATGTAAGCAATTTGGAAAATTTAATATCATTTGGACATTATTATGAAAGGTTATCCTATAGGAACTCTGATTTGAACAAAACACAATGGTATTTAATGCCAAAGAATGGTCTTTGGAACAAACTACATCTAGGATATGGTAACATCTACATGATTATGGTAGTATTGAATAGAGGTTTAGAGAACAAGGGTGATGAAGCCCCAATAGAATTCATTTTTAAACACTTTGATAATACTTGGGAAAAATAAACTAGGTGCTCTGCACCAGGATAAGGAATAGAATATGTTAGCATAGTTTTAGTTCTCAGCTTCTAAATTAGCTTATCTACCCAAATTCAAGGGTTGTGTTACTACTTTTATTTCGAATCACTAGTCCAGGTCCGTTGGTCTGGGATTTTTTAACTCTATTCTAGACTGGTTTTGTATTGGTTACTCCCTGCAATGAAATTTAGAATATGTTAGCATAGTTTTAGTTCTCAGCTTCTAAGTTAGCTTATCTACCCAAATTCAAGGATTATATTACTACTTTTTATTTCGAATCACTGGTCCAAGTCCGCTGGTCTGGGCTTTTTTAACTCTATTCTAGACCGGATCTGTATTGGTTACTTCCTGCAATAAAATTTATTTTCACTTGTGCCAAAAAAAAAAAAAAAAAAAAAAAAAAAAAATGCACACTAGATAGGTTTATGCTAGGTATCCTTTTCATAAACATTCCACTACAATCTGAATAAAATACGGAGAATCAATATACTCAAGATCGATTCTACATTCACAGCTAGGCAAGAGAAATCAGGTGAAATTTAATGAATTGTAGTCTCTTCGACATAAGATACAATTTTAGACTATCTGTTCATGAAGAACCACCGTCTCTACACTCTGCTGAACGCTACATGAATACTTTTCATGAAGCTTGGCTAGAAAGCAGCCTCGCAGGCACACGGTTCAATCTCGTACCAAGGTCCCACCATTTTACAAGGGACATCACTACACATGGATTTCAAATTTTGCTGACATGTGATAATAAAAAATAAAAATAAAATAAAAAAATTGAGACCAGCAAATCCGATGGAGGTCCTAACCAATGTGCGGCAATGCGTCCGACATGTTGCTCTTGTAGCTGAAGCCGCTACTGTGCCAATGCTTGATGGTGGAAACTACGGCCAGCGTGTAGGCGGCAAGGTTTACCAGCGAGCAGATGGCAACAATGAAAATGGAACAGATCTTGGTTCGCAGCAAACTAGGAATGCGGATAGACTTGCCGAACATGAGGAGCGCGATAACCATCTGCAAGAAAATGCCTATGGCGAAGAAAAAGCTAGGCAAGGAGTCGAAAACATTCTGCTGGATGACATGCCAAATGGCCACAACGGAGAGAGCCAAGAGAATGGCGAGAACCAGTTCCGTACAAAGGAGGGTTTTCATTTCCACCGTAAATTCATCGTTTTCGTTATACTTGGTGTCCTTGCAAGCCTCAATAACGCTTTCCTCATGCTCAGAGGATACGTGGAGGAGCAGTGGGTGGTGGCAGCTGCTAGCGATCGTGTACAAGCCAGCTTTCACCAAGACGATGAAGCTCAGAGCCATGCAGATTCTCTCGATGGGCGTTACTTTTAGGCTTTGACTTGCGCGGGATACGACGCCAAAAATGTATCCAACTGCTTGCGATGCTGTAACGGCGATTGCGAGGCCACTGTAGCCGTGCAAGAACCGTAGTTGTTCGTACTTGGGCAGCACATTTGCTCGAAGAAGAGCTTCCTTGCCTCTGTCGTTGAGAAGCACCAATGCCTCGCTTTCACGCCGATTGCCCACCTCAAGCGGTGTCAGCAATACATCAATACTGTAGTTTTGCTCCGTGTGCATTACCGGAAACCTTGTGGCGGCGTCCTCGCTCATTCCCAACAAGACGTCGCATTGTGCGATGATATTGGCGGAATTACTTCTAGCCACAGTAACCGTGGATCTACCGAGCTTCTTTGTTAGATTCATGCCTACAAATGCCTTTCCAAGAACTTCGATTAAGCTCCAGACGGGCATGATCGGGCCCGCGACGAACACTAAAAGCAGCCGCCATGCAAACTCCGAAGAAGATGCGAACCCCCAAGCATCGGTTGTCAAACTCAAAAGCGTAACAATCAAACCCCAAAAGTTGGGCGCCATCTCGCGAGTTTGATAGCACAGCTGATTTTTGTCATCGCACAGATTCCTCTGGAAAGCTGCATTATAATCTTTACCAGCCACTATTTGCGCGAGGCTCACAATCAAAGCCACACTCAGGATCATGTCCCTCTGCTTTCGCCTGCCCCTCGGAAACTGGGTTGCCATCGCTGCTCCTCTACATGACCTATGCCATACGATGTAAATGATTTACACCTTGCAATAGAGAAATTGTAGGAAAACTAACTAGCCATCATGAATAATCAGAGCACCGTGTCAACACATGCAACTCTACACAAATTTAATAGACAGCGGTGTACCTTAAACTTCCAAATGCCCCCATCATTGTGTTTGGCGACAACGTCTTCAAAAGGAAGCGCGCAGAGCAAACCTAGTCCACTCTGATGCTTGTCAACGATGATTCACTCACCGACAAACTGGGACCACAGCCACTGCACCAGAATCCATACCGCAAGCGGAGTAGGAATACTTCCTGGTGCACAATGCGGTACATTCGTGAAACCTCTCCCTCAGCATTGCCTTTCTCAGGTGGATCTCCACAGTTACAGTCTCTACAAAGACTCCACCGTAAAAGGGGAAATGAAAAAAAAAGAAAAAAAAAAAAAAAAAGAAGAGAGAGAACGACCGATGTGCTTCCGATCTACGCACCCAACTGAAAAAGATTGCAAGAGCTTTTCGCATACATCAACCACCACAATCCAGGGACAACCACCTCGCGAGAGGCACAAATCACACACTCGTTAAACAAAATCTCTGTTTAACACTCAAGAAACCAGATATCAAGCCGGCATTGAGTGCACAAAGCGAAACAGTTCCTGCAACCCAACCGCCGGTGCCGATTGCGGAGTCCAGGGTGGCGCAGCAAATCAGCAATAGCCCTGGACCGGACCTTCCGCATGCTAAAGGTCATTGCTGCGAATCCGACACCCGGAAGCCCATGTACCTTGGGTCATGGGACGATCCCGAACTACAATGGTTGCGGAAGCCACGCAATTGGCTCGTTGAGCGCTCGGATGTCGCAATCTGCAACTGGGTGGCTAAAAATAAGGACACCTAACCGGAGGTCCGGGGAGAGCCGACTTGCTCACCTGGCAACTATGCTTTAATTGGTGATTCCACATAGCCGCCGAGTCCGCTGAAAGCAAAGATCCATGCTCAACGACCTTGGCTCGCAGTCCTGTCAGCGCCACCAACACTGGCATTCGCACCAAGTGGAGGAATCGACTATTCCCACACATTCTCATACGGATAGTTCCCATGCTACGGCGCAGCAACGATTCTATCTCTCCCTAAAACCACACTGGATTCCTGCCCTCCATTCCTCCCACAACGGTGCCCGCAAACAATCACACCAGTAACGACTCCTCAGCGAAACTTGAACTGTTCATCTTACGTGATCTCTTCACAGGTACTGCGGCCTATTGCGATCTCAACAACATGCGCAACATGCACACTGGAGTCACGCTCAAACAGTCATATTCTTTGTCCGTCTGTGCGTCCGCTCAAGGGTGACGATGTGGGTCAGGAGCACAAAGTTTTCCTCATCTCGGCAGCGTCCTGGCATTTCCATTTAAGAAGAGTTCCGGCGCCATCGAAGCTGATCTGCGGCTTGCACGAGGGAGCTGGAAGCGGGCTTTCTTCGGAAGCAAGGACTCCATTCCCAAGTCCCCCCCTCCCCCTCCTCTGGGGGTGTAGCGGTCATGTTCGGCGTCTGATCGCGGCCCCTGACGCTACTTTGGAAACTTTACGGCGTTTGCATCGCGGCTGGCATCCATCGCTGGCGGCTGACCCGTTCAGTGGGCACGATCTAAAGGGGAGACCAGTATAATGGGTTTTATTTTAGACAAGCAATTTCCATCTTTGGCACGCTTTAAATTTTTTAGTTTTCTATTTGGGTATGTGGAAGATATAACATGAAATAGAAAAAAAAAAGTAGTATAAATAAGGCTTGTCTATTTATCTTTTAAATGTGGCTATGAGGTCTTTATTGTGTCTTCTGCATCTAAGTGTTTAATGTCCTTGTTAAGATATGGTTGTAGAATATAATCATGGTCTTAAGTTACAATGTTGTTACTTGATAAATTTGTTAGTGTAAAGCATTTCAATAGGTTCCCTTACTCAAGTTGTTCATTAAAGTACTATGGATTCTTTTAAAAAGTATGTTTATTACTTTTAAAAAAATTTATCATTGGTAAATTAGTGCCTTCATTATTTTGATTTTTTTTATGTATAATACATAATATAAAATCGAGTGTCCATGAACCGAAATATTCAACTATCTATGAATGAAGTTTTCAATATCTCGTTGAATTTCAAAACATCTTGTATAATAAAACAATAATAATCAACTCACATTCACATCACATGTGAACATTAAAAATTTGTCTAAAATATAAAAGAATTTTTCTTGAATAAAATCAAACAACATAAAATTAAATATATATATATATATATATATATATATATTTTGCCAACTCTTTTTTTTACTCGTTGAAATTTCAGAAATTATGAAGTTAATTACCAGCTTAAAAATTAAACCACACAAGTTGAATTCTTGAACTAATTAGATGCAGTTGAATAATCTATGCTTAGAAAGCTCAATAAAATAAAATACAATCCTGAACAGAAAATGCATACAATCCCTCTAGTGAAAATCTATAAATGTGTGTATATATATATATATATATATATATATGTATGTGTATTTGTTGTGATGAAATTCAACTGAATGCAATGCTTTTTCCATGGCATTAACGGCAGCACAGCACAAGAGCAACCCCACTCCAGATTCACTTCCCTTGCTTGCCTCAACTTTTCATCACCATCTGGTTTCCAAGAGGCACACGTTGCTATGTTGCCATGAAGCCAAGGTTCCTGTGAAGCTCTTCCATGCAGCAACAGTCAGAAAAAACAGCAGGAATAACCCACAAATACCACACACATTCAATCAATGTATACAATCCAACAGACTCACTGCAGGACCTTGTTGTTGGTGTCGGTAGTGAAGACACTAACAAGAGGGCGAAAACTGGGCACTGACCAAGCAAAAGTTTTCCATTCAGTGAAACAAATCCATGAGCATCGACATAAGTCTGCACACCGGAAGCTACAAGTTTACAAAAAATCAACAGCAAGCTTTCATCACCAGGTCTGGAACGTTGAACCTGTCGAGGCTTCACATTGGATGCTTTTGCACAGATGGTGCTACAAACAATGAAGACCTCGATGAGGGGTCCGTTGCATTCGGTTTATACACATGATTACACACCAAACATACTTATGGTGGGACAAAGCCTTAAGAAAACCCCTTCAGAAATGACCTCAATCTCTGGAATTGTGGAGACTGATATCCTGCATATGACCTATTGTATCACGTGATTCTTTCCACCTGAGAACAATAATCCAGAAACTGTAACATGAAGAAATATTGCAAGTTTTGGCAATCAATGGTAGACTTCCACGTTTAAATCCGCACACTATCTCTAGTAAAGTGAGAAGATTAGACAGAAGATGAGAGCCACTGAGGAGATAAGCCTCGCTCGAGGCTTTGTTGCTGAATTGAAGTTGGACGAAGGTGTAAGGGGACCGGTACCGTTTTGAAGAGGGGCTGAATACGACACTGGGGACTCGGCAACCGATAATGCAGGACTGGGTGGTAAGCTGAGTGCACCTGGTAGAGGAGCGACAGGGAATATGGGAGATAGCTGCGTCGATAAATTGACATCTGTTGCACCTCCCAATGGTTGCCAGCAGTAGTTATCTGATCATACAATGAGGGTTATCGTAAGAACAAAGCCTCAACTGCTAGAGTCATATCTGTTAATTGGATCATCGATCAGAAGCTAGGAACTACTGAAGCTATACACTGAGTTTGATTATACAGAGATCTAACACCCTGCATACCAAATCATCGACATGGAATGTTATACAAGACACTTACTGTAAAGAAAATTGTACAAAGTGGCCGGGTGATCCGTGATGAAGCCATTTACATTGTATTCTCCGACAAGAGAATTAATATGCAGAATTGGGTCCGATCTATAATCGATAGCGCGGCTATTGAATTCGTTAGACAGGAAGTAATAAAACACTGTCATGTTGAGTGACTGTGCGGAGCGCACCACGGATGTCGTTGAAGACAGGAAAGAGGATCCGAATATGTCAAGAGGATCGACAAATCGACCATCCAGTGCAATGGTATCTGCGAACTTCTTGATTTCCTGCAGGACAAGCAACAATCCGAACATTAAGACGATGTGTTTCAGGAGAAGAGATGAGTATGCCCATGACATTGAGGCAAGTTCAAAAACAAAGCCTCAACCAATAATTTTATAGCTTAGTTACGTTTGCAAAGACTGCACAGTTAATCGAGGAACCATACAAGAATTCAAAAGATAAAGTTTATGAAGGGGACCATGATACAAAGTACTGCTGGGGAAAACTAGTTGGGAATTTAGAAGACTATATTGAATTCAAGCAACATGTACAGGAAACAGGCGACAAAGGCGATATCGTTTGATCAGCTGGAAAAACACACCGTGAGTACAGAAGTCGTGATTGAAACAGGAGACTTTTCGTCGTACTGAACAACATACACGCGCTTAACTACAGGTATTGATGATTGAATTGCAGCCAAAGCTGAACTGTCTTCTGAAGCGACGAAGACTTTGTGGCTGCCATTTGTAAGATTCGCTTTGGTGAGGGAGGCCACAACCGCATCAACCATATCCAAATTCTTTTGAGTGCGCAAATAGTGGGCGTTCTGAGGTTCAACACCAAAACATCTCTCAAGCAACAGGTGTGAATGCATCTATGTTTAAACCAGTAACCCAGTGGAGAAGTCTTCAGAACAGAAGAGAATCACAAGATATTGACAATTACATTGGAAGTTACTAAGCCAAGGAATTGGTTGATATAAGACTCACCTGAAGATTCACATACACACCAACGCCTGAGTTTTTTTTGGCGAAAACCAAGAACTCATCCAAAGTCAGCACGCCTTCCTTCCCATCGTTTGAAGGGTCGCGTCTGACAAAATACTCAGACCAAGGACTGTACATCTTCGCTGCGAACAATCACAGTGCTGAATATGTAAGTGACATGAATACAAATATACTACCTTCGTTGACGAAGGTTTCATGACATCAAATGGCGTACAAATATCTGGTAACAAGTTCAAGATCAGTACTTTATTCACACTGATCTACGTCTTGAAATCTACATCCACTCACATTACTGTGTGCTAAAATTTTGATAAGAAATAAATATGGCAAACTTATGTACTCCCTAATTGGCAATCAGAAGTGCTACTTCGTAGCTCCTCAATTAGGTTCAAAAAAATAAAAAAAATGATGCAAGTAAACCATTGGATCGGCATTATTGCATGTCACACCTGTCTTAATTGTTCACAAATAGCTCATAAGGCAAAGCGACTCTGACCTTACAACCAGCATAACTGGACGAGAACACTGGCAGTAAAAGTTTGCAGACACAATACCTCCAAATTGCAATAACAAACTGAACTAGAAATTACAGATGACGCCTCAAACTTTCCGCTGGAACCATAGATGGGTTTCAGGGTTACAAGGAAAAAAAAAACATGCTGGAATATTACATACCTTTCAATGTCCTGATATCTTTCAAGGGTAGATCGAAGGTGAACACTCCTGATCCAAACTCGGGATAGGATGCATAATACTGTTCATACAACACTGAAACACTGTCTATATTGGTACTCTTAATTAGGTTGACGTCTTCTCGGCACACAGGCACTCCATCTTTAGTAATCTGCACTGTACAATCGATGTAATCCGCACCATCATTAATAGCTGCCACATATGCAGGCAAAGTATTGCCGGGGAAGTCTCCACTTGCACCATTGTGTGATAAAATAATAGGATTCTGCACTGGTATAGTGGAAGCTGCACAAATGAAAAAGATCACAGATATTGCACTTTTAGAAATCTGCCTAGTGGATGTGAAATCTGCTGGGTGTACTAACCCAACCTTAGTTTGATGACACCATACCTAATTGAAGGAACGGCAATAAAAAATGAAAATGTTCAATATAGAGAATGATGAACTCCTGGGAACAGAAAACATATGGTCGAGGCTCTGACTAAATCAGCCCATTGGGAAGTACTCCTCTCTAATTGAAACCCCTGGACCTGTTTAACACCATAATTGAGCAAGAAGAGCACTCTTGAAATAAGCCTCTTATGGTGGCAGTCTCGTCCTCTACTAACACTGCAAAGCTTCACTTCAGGCTAGCAATAGGTAGCTTAAATCTTACCAAATGCGTATACACAATATTTAAAAACGAATTGATAGTGAAAAATATGTGAAGATGGTACGCTAAGAGTCTACAATCTCCCACACTGTTGCAACTTCATGTAAGGCGCGTTTAAAACAAATACATTGATGGTAACCTTGACAATGTGACAAAACACAAAGTGAATAATCTACCTCTGAGAGTTGAAGGTGATTTATAACCACGGGGGTAGCAATCTGCGGCAACAATTATGAGTAGAACCAGTCAATAAGCAGAAGTTAGGTGAGTCTACAATACACTGCTGACAGTTTAAACTAATCACCCTACAAAACGAGCTCTGTATTCTAATTCGATTATTAAGTTTGTTATTTGTGTTCCCCTACGATTCTTCGGTTCACTGAGTATAATATTCTGCGATACAAATGTCCCGGAAGTCTATAGGTGAATGCACTCACTTATTGCTTCAGCAGCGGTGGTTGGGAAATCTGTTAAGACCCCATCCACAGTGAAGGTGTCCCCCACGTAGCTCAAAACTTCAAGAATAGGATCAAAACTGTAGTTATAACTTGATGGAAAGAAATCGTTAGCAAATCCATAAACAAAAACTTCCAAGCCCGCCTTGTGTGCATCTTGGACAAGAGTGGTAGCAGGTGCTGAATAGTAACCGTAGGATGTGTCGTTTGTAAACGTGATTATTGGATACACGAATTCTTTAGGGACTAAAATTCCTTGAGCATAAGTAGCAATGCTGGGCAAATCTTTAATGATTTCTCCATACGTGGTGTTTGTGCTCTCCTCGACAAGGCCAGCGTCTAAAAACTTCAAGACAAGATTTGTTTCACTTTTTAAGGCAGTCGGTTTGAGCAATTTCAAAATGCCGATCTCAGTAGCAGACAGATATTCTGGTTCATATTCCTTCAAAAATGTAGTCAGATAACTGGCAAGACTGTTCTTTCCTGGATGTTGCTGATAGAAAGTTGGATACTGCAAACAATTAACGATTCGTGTTGGTTGACAATTCACCATTTGTGGAGCAATGAGCTCTTCTCTTGCACAGATAATCATAAACAGATTCACATAATTACTCAAAATGCTAAGTTCACGGACGAAAGACGAGAACTCGATCACAAAGACTTTTACGTTGAAGATGTTTCTTTAGCTGGGTCAAGCTGTACCTCAACATTTAACCAAAAGAAAAGCCCATATTGTGCTCCGTTGGCGGAGTTTAGCGCAGTGCTTTCAGGTGTTTCGGGAGTAAAATTTTCATCAAAAACAGGTGTGCGCGAAGGGTTAGACTGAATCGCTGCACAGACGAACGTTAGCTTAGAACACTGGATAGATCATACCAGCAATGACGAAATTTGCTCTTATTAAAATTTTAAATATTGCTTATATATTTTAAGTATCACACTGACAAACAAAAAGAAAACTAATTAGAACCATTACTGCTACAATGATAAGCACCGATAATGATGGAGGCAAATTCAAGCACGTTGTGCAAGAAAAAGCTCTACACTGATCAATCCTTTACCGTAAACTTTGCATAATTATGTCTAAATATCAGGTGACGTATGAAACGATGAGACTCTAGATGATAGCTCAATCTGCGAAGAAATACAGGGTCTATGCAGCACATGGACTCAATGGTGCAAAGAAACACTAATTAGCATCTGTTTCCAACTTAAAATGGCTAAACCTTAAGTTGAAAAGCTTGGGATTTACCTGTAGTTTTGTTAAGTTCTATCGAAGTGAAATCAACTGAAAAATACCCAGTCCTTGATTCTCTTCTCATAGCATAAGTGCTCATCACGGTTGCATTTGACACGATATTTTTTAGATCGGTTGAATCACTCAAATTCCAGCCAGTGCGACAAATACCAAAATTGTCCTTGGTTAACTGCAGGTCACACAATAGTGCCATGGGAAAACTGGTGCTGTTGACAGCATCCGCGTTGGCTAAAAATGTCTGATCTGGGAAAAGGCCTGATGTACCACCATTCGCTATTACCAAGGGAGGTCCTTCTGCATCGCATCAAAAGGCGGATTTAATTGTCGGAAGAGAAGGACAGGGGACGGTTGACCAGACACTATAACTTATATTTATTAGTCTCCTTAGCAGACGAAGTCAGAAATTAAGGTCAGCTACGCTTGAGAAAAGAAGAGGAGGAAGTTATACAGAAGATTGTTCAAAACTGTAAATTACTTAGAATTCAACTGTTTACAAGTGTTATCCCAGGTGGAAAAATACTATTAGTTTAATAATTCTTGGAAACCGTAAGCTTCCTTGATTTCTACGAAGAGAAAGAGAGAAAGAAGCATTCATATCGTGGCAGACTGTGAACGGGTGTGACAGATCTTCCTTGATTACTGAAAACTCAACCAAAACTAAAACTTTAGTAAGAAAGTGGCTGTCAAGTAAAATTTATCCAGTCCTCCTTGGACACTTGATTAACATGCTTTCCACAAGAGAGACAACTGAATAAGGGTAGAAACCAAGGCCTTCTGCAAAACGAGTTCCAGACCTAAACGTATCCGTCATAGACAGTGGTCTTGTTCCAATTAAATATTTTTTTTTTAGCAGCAACAGGTGTCAGTGGTTGGGAGCAGAATATATATTTTTTAAAGTGTAAGTAAATTAACTGCTCGTTGAAGACACAACTTCGGCCAGTGTACTCCTAAACTAAACTAAGGTTAGACATGATACGCTGACTGCTCCCTCAGCTGTGACAACAGTTCAGGTAAGTGAAGCGCTCGCCATTACCAACCAGCAACAAGCCTGCTAGCTCTGCATTTAAATACATTACTACACCGACTCCCGAGCAAATATGACGTCCCCTTTGCCTGTATCACTTCACACTCCACTACGCACAATCACAACACAACCCCGCCTCTCACACTAACTGCCTCGCACCACCCACACTCGACAGCACGCCACCAAATCATAACTGTATTGCTCCAATCCGCAGCTCACACCCCAATCCAAACCCAATACACACACTATCCGCTCTTCCAACTCCTCGAAGGTCCAGAACCTCTACCCAAATAAACAACAAGGAGCGGCCCCCTCCACCTGCACCTCCACCCTCCCATGCTCCATAACCTATCGCCAACCTCACAACCCACAACCTTCACAACCTCCATCTATTCCAAATTGACCCAAAATAACCAGCTCACGCTGCCTCACCAACACCACACCACACTCCAGCGCGAAAACTTACTCGAGATTGTCTGCCACCCGAGTGTGGCATTGAACGCAACACAAGCCGGAAGCACCACCAGAAAATGCAGCACCACAGCCACCACCACCACCATCTCCATCTTCATTCTCATCATCGAATGCTGTCGAATGTCATCAAATGCCGCAGAAAAGCCCACAACACAGCTCGAAAGCTGGCAATCACATACAGCGAGCGAGGCGCACGCAGCGTGAGCAAAAATCAGCGCACCGTCGCTGTAAGCGCGGCTACTCGTGTCACACTCTCTGGGGTCCCTCACTGTGGGGCTCTCTCTCGAAGTCAGATGGTCTTCATGACGACGCTGCGATCCCGCCCAGCCCGCCCCGGCCCGGCCCTTTCTGTGCACCAGGGCTGGGGACTCTGCCATAAGCACTAGCCCGTGTTCCCCGTTGGCCCGCCTCCGTTCTCGTTACCCTCCGTCTCCGCCCCCTCCGCCTTCACACCGTGGCGTCCCTATTACCGTGGCGTTCTTTTCCTTGTCCATGTCTGTCCCATTTTTTGTATGCTTTTGTGTGTATGTGAGAGTGAGAGAGAGTGAGAGAGAGTGCGAGAGTGTTTTTTCTTCTTCCTTTTTCGTTTCTTTACTTTTTTTTTCCTTTTTTATTGGGGGGTGTGGTGAGTAATGGTGATATGAAAATGGCGGATGCTTCTTTCGTTGCAAATACCCATTAAAAACACAGTGGCTCAGATTTGCACGTGATCTGTTTCAGATTTGATCAGCTTTTCAGTTCTTTCTACTTTCTTGCTGTCTTGCTCTCTGGCTTCCCTCTCCGTTTGCTTTTTTATATTATAATTATAATTTTGATTTTTTTATTATTCCATTTTTCCAGGTTTATTTTTCTGTGGGATGAAGGTGAAAGTTTGGGAATAGAATGTGTTCTTCACTTCTTGTGCAGGTTATATCTATATATCTATATATATATATATATATACATATATAAGTGACTGCAAAAATAATGGACAGTGGAATTGTGGAAAATCTGTACTTTTTATATGTTTTTTCCTGATGTAATAGATGACAAATATACGTCATGTCATCTAGCTTCTCGTTTTTTTTTTCTTTTCTTATTTTTTCTTTTTACTTTTTCCCCCTCATAGTAAAATTTATTAAGCTCGTGTTTTGTGTGTTGCATTTGCAACAAGAGATACTAGTGAATTAAATTACATATTAAATTTTGAATAATAAAATAATGGAAAAGGAGCAACATAAACACTCACAGCAGCAGCATGAACAATGAGATTGCCATGCAAAGCATGCATGCAATATTATTTGATAAAAATAAAAATAAAAATAAATTAAAAGATGCCACCCAAGTTGACGTTAGAAATGTGGGTTAGAAATGCTGGAAGATAAATCGTGAAGAAAACAACACTAATTCAGCTTGAATTCCAAAAAAAGCAGTAAAAACTTTTTCACTTCCAAAATGCACCGCCGAAACAAAATATAATACAAACTGTGGGCGTTATGCAACATTTTGTTTTAATTATCAATTGATAAATAATAAGAACAATAACGACCACCTTCACTTGTACATACAATCACCTTACTTATTCACATCAGCCCAGATTCGAAGTATATATATATATATTAAAAGAATTTGATATTGACTGAAATTTTCGAAGCAGTGCTTAATTTGAGATTATTGATTTTATTATTATTAAAACCACATATATGCAGCGAATCAAGTACCCATTCAATAGTTAGAGCTTACACGTGTCCTTTACACGTTTCATAAATGCCTCCCCCCAGTTAAATTATATTGTTTTCCTTCCATTGTAAGTTAAATTTTCCCCGGGCAGGGTGCCCGAACCCTGAACGAGCATCATAATCATTGCGATATATTTTTGCGTGGGGCCCACTGCATGCTAAGGCTGTGTATGCCATTGGTGGTGAAGCGCGTTCACACCGGCACAGACGAGGCTTGCTTAATTTGTACCAGCTCAAGGCCGGACGGCCATGGAGCTCAAGGCATTCCCTGTCGTACTCCGTGGTGATGGGACAGAGCCCACAGTGATGGGGCGCCTTTGAAGGAGTCAAATCACTCAGTCCATGTTGGCAGCAAGGCCTGCAATGCCGCTGCATGGACCAAGGATGGACGGACAGAGGGACGAACGAACGAAATGACGGTTGGACCGACGGACGGAGTGTGGATGATTAGATACCAAAGTAGATGAATGTGTGGATATCATGATAGTGGGATTGTTCGTGGTTGTGTAACTTCAAAGCTCGATCGTGGGACCACATATGGAGGTGGAGTCTTAGCAAAAAAATAATAATTTAAGACGTATGAACCAATTCTACATGGATTGTGTCCTTTTTTTATTTGAAAAATGGAGGTTTACAACTCAAGCTATGTTTGTTTGGTTTAAATACACTCATTAGATTTTTTTTGTAATATCCAGAAAAATGTATTAGACTTTTAATAATAATTGTGAATTATATTGTAACTGTGTGTTATGCACAAAAATTCAAAATTTGTGGCTTTTATTTTATTTATTAAAATAAAATTTAAATAATGTAATTTATATTAATATTTATTAAATTATTTTTAAAAATAAAATTCAAGGATGTAACTTTATTTATCAATAAATTATCAAAACAAAATCCGGTCATCTTGGAGAAAAAGAAAACTTACTATACTCTTCTTTATAGAGATTACTACTTATAGTTTCACCTATGTTTACTCGTACTAATTTATTGTATACATATAATGAAAACTTATACAGTACGGAACTTTAGTATTGTAAGAAGAATACAGGCCTATATTGATTATTATGAGCGACGGTTACGGTCGGCTGGCATCTGCCACCGAACTCAAGAAGTAGTGATGCTAGTCGATCAACTTAGTGTAGAACATCACTCGAATTACACAAGCTGGGAGAAAAGAGAGCTTTAAGCCAAAAATGGCGTGCTTGAGGGGCGGAATACACTGTCTCTTGATTGTCTCTTGAGTAGAAGTTTCGTATGGTCTCCAGAGATTCTAGTACAAGCCCGCGTGAGCAACCTCCGCCGAGGAGTTTGTAGTTGCTACTCAGACGTCTGGAACTATGTGGGTATTGATTATTCAGCATCTAGATCCAGATCTGGAACCAGATATTGAAGTTTGGGACGTTCTAAAGTAAAATTCAGAACCTCTCACTAAGCTTGTATGCGTCGGTGGACTTATCTGATTATAAAGTGCAGAATCATGCCGGAAGAGTTCGCATCTGGGTCTGATATTAGAAATTGAGGAACTGGAAGTGTCTCAGGGATCACTGCCGTTATTGGATTTTGCAATAACACGTTAGGGAAGGATTCCTCTACAAGTTGTACCGAATCTGTAGTTTGACTCGTCGTCAAGACGTCAGTCCGGGTTGAGAACATCACCCTCAGTCTCGGAGAGCACGCCTTACAGCAATAGGAGGTTTAGACTTGATTTAGAAAGGTCGGGTCTACTACTGATTATGGCTATACTCAAGACGTGAGATTGAAGTCGGACTCGCAAATGAGATTGGCTTAATAGAATTACATGAAGGTCTGAGCTATCATAGTTGCATAATTTATTATAGATAATAATGTATGCACATTGTTTATCCATTCCAGGGGGTTGTTACTGAACACACAACTCTACGACTGAATGATTATACCGTTTCATCTGATTAGAGTTACTGTTACTATATTAGTAACTCTATAATCTAATACGCCCTCTTAACTGTATCACGATGTCGCTGGGGTTTCTCCTCCAAGAATGCCAAGTAACGGTAGGTGCTGGGCAAGCTTCGGCCCAGACAGAGACTTTGTGAACAGATCGGCGCGCATATGGTGAGTGGAGCAGTGTCGAAGCTTAAATTTTTGAAGATTCGCGAGCTGTCGAATAAAGTGGTACCTAATCGCGATGTGCTTCGTACGAGAATGGAACTTGGTTGTGTCTACCAACGCAAGCGCTGACTGGTTATCACAGTGGATCTCAGTGGGGTATTTCAAAGTTTCAGTTTGGTGTAGATCGTGGAGCAGTTGACGAAGCCAGTCTAGTTCGGAGGCGGCCGTCGCCATTGCCATGTACTCCGTCTCTATGCTGGAGAGGGCCGTCGATCGGTGTCGAGTGGAACTCCAGCCGATGACGGCCTCCGACAAAATAAAACAGTATCCCGAAGTGGACCGTCTTTCATCGAGCTCCCCTGCCCAATCTGCGTCGCTGAACCCATACAGCGGCGCGGGCGTCGAAACAGAGCGTCGATATTCAATGTAATGCGCCAAGGTCCCGCGGAGATAGCGAAACGTATGTTTACATGCACGGATACGGGCAGAACCCGGGCCGTGCATGAATTGTGCGAGAACACTTGTGGCAAAAGATATATCATGCCGCGTACAAATTGCGGCCAAGTTCAGGGACCCCACTGCATTTGCATACAAGAATTCGGAGCTGGGGCGGCGGTCTTCCTGCGTGGAGTGGCAGTCCGCGCTGGACAGTCGGGTTCCAGGAGCCATTGGAATAGAGACTGGTTTGGAATCCAAAAATCCAAACTCCAGCAGCTTCTGTGTGAGATAAAGTTGTTGTGAAACCCTGATCCAACCATGTCGACGATTTCTTGTGGTTTCAAGGCTAAGAATATGATGCACTTCGCCAAGGTCGGAGAGAAGAAAGCGAGAGTGCAATTGTTGTTTAATAGTGTGAAGCAACAGAAGGCTGTTGCTTGCAATAAGAGTATCATCCACATATAATGTGAGAATGGCAAAATCGGAACTGCGATGGAGATAATATACATTGCCATCGGCTGTCGAATTGATAAATCCAAGAGTAGCCAAGTATGTGTTAATCACCTTAAACTATTTGCGGGGAGATTGTTTTAGCCCATAGATTGTTTTATGAAGACGACACACCATTCGGGGTTGTGGAGGAGTGACACCTTCCGGAACTTGCATGTAAAATTCTTCTTAAAGAGTGCCATTTAAAAAGGCGGTTTTAACATCCATTTGGAGTACATGGAGGTCATGTTGAACAGCGAGAGTCAAAATAAGGCGAATGGATTGAATCCGAACAACGGATGAAAATATTTCAGTGTAATCCAAACCCTGAATTTGGTTGAAGCTGCGAGCCACAAGTCGAGCTTTGAAGCGGTCCACGGTCCTGAAATTTTTAACTTGATTTTAAAAATCCATCGGCAAGTAATTGGCTTCCGATAAGGAGGAGGATATGTGAAGGTCCACGTAGAATTTACTACAATTTAATTCTTTCGCAATAGCCATCTTCCATTTGGAAGCCTCCTGAGAATTGAGTGCTTGCACATAAGTTGCGAGTTCCAATGGGACCTCTTTGACTAAAATCAGAGCATGAGGAGGACGTCCTGATT